TTAACTCGCATCCCACAATACCTATAATAAAAGCAAAAACCCTGTAATCTATATATATCATACACATTTTAACTGGTATGCTGCAATACCTACAATAAAAACAGTTACTCTGTCATCTATATCATATACATTTTTAACTTGAATCCCACAATATATACAAGAAGAGTGCACATGCTGAAATATCTCACCTGGTTATTTATTGTGATTGAATTCATGTTGAAAATCTTTAAAAGATAAAGGTTAAATTACAAGTAACAAGTAAACTTTATAATCATTCCATACACCAAATAAAGCTAACCTATTACTTATGGAATCTGAGAAACAGATCAGCCTAGACATGTAACCTAAACATTCACAAATGACAATTAAGTCTTTGGTCTCACTGGTTGGTCATGCTGGTGTAGAAATTGTCTTTGGTGGTTTAATTATGAAATCAGTGTGCATAATATATTTGCGTTTTATAAAATGACCCTTTATCGAAATTCCCAATACACTTTTAAACTTTAGACAATACATGTACATACTCTATTCAAATAATATAAATTGTACAACTATACAACAAGACAACAAAATAAATCATGAATAAGGGTGAACTAAATCAGGGCGAACAGGTGTTATGGCAAACAAACTCAGGGCAAACAGGTAATAATCATGATACTAGGGCGAAGATACAAATTTTTAATGGGAGGCCGGATAGAAGAGGGCTTAAAAATCGAGAGATTTTGACTCAAGCCAGAAGAATCAAATGTATGTACAAAGTAAAAAATATATTCCTTAGAAATAAGATTCAAAATTATTCTTAATTATCAACTTAATGATTTTGAAAATGAAAAGTACAAAATTTATGCAAGATTATTTAACAAAGCAAACTCACAGACTACTAACACCTGTTTCACATTGTATTCAGTAAAATTAAGACATTTGAATACAGTGTTGTCTATTCATTATATACAATACTATTTATAAATTTCTGGAATTGTGATTCATATATTTTAATACGCAACAGTTTTTTCATTAAAATTTATTTTCCGAATAATGACAAAATCTGATATCTTACTTTCTTATTTCCTTGATGACAACGGCAATATCTATTGTACTAAATCGGGTCTTCATTTTTCTCTCTGTTGAAATTATCAAATATCAAACAAAAGTTAATAATAATCAGTAGATCTGGGAAAGTTTCTTTCAACACATCACAACATCCGTTTCGTAATTTCGTAATGACGTGATCTGTCCATTTGAAAGAAAAAGCCCGAGAATCGAAATCTTCTGGATAGGAGATTTATTTTTCACGCATTTCGCGCCAAAACTGGGATCACTGGGATTAACTCTTACTTGACATTTAAATGCCTAATACTGCCAATTATTACTGTACCATTTATATAACGAATTTAGAGAACAAATACACAATGAAAAATTCCTTTGTACTAGTAAAAACAAGTTACATTTTGTATGTTCATTTTATTTGTCAATGGCAATGCAGAGAACAAATGAATTTTTGGGAGGAATGTTTAGGAACATAGAGCTCAAAACCATCAGAAATAGATAGGTAATTTTTTGATTTTTATGACTTAAAACAAAAACAATATATAAAAAAGATTTTATTTCAGCCAAAATGGAAATTTTATTTTCCCCATTTAACTAATGACTAATTCCTGAGATTAAGCGCCTGTGGTATTGAGTTGGTAAAAGTGTTTTATTTTCTTATATAATTAGTTATTGCTCTTGGACAGACGAAATATGTGCAATGGAGGAGACATTGGATCTCTGTTCTTTTATTTCAAAGGAGGAAATGCCAGTGTCTTAATACTTTTCTATGATCTGATTTTGAAAATAAAATGCTCGTAAAATAAAAATAATTTCATTTACCTTGGATTCTTTTTTGTCGCAGAAAGCTCGACATGGGGATAGTGATCTGGCGGCAGCGTTAGCTAAAATCTTGAAAGCTTTATATTTAAGTAGGTAGAAGATCTGGATGCCTCATGTTACGAAGTTTCCGTCAGTCACATGTCCAATGTCCTTGACCTCATTTTCATGGTTCAGTGACTACTTGAAAAAAAAGTTAAGATTTTTTGTAATGTTAAATTCTCTCTTATTATAAGTAATAGGATAACTATATTTGGTATGTGCGTACCTTGCAAGGTCCTCATGCCTGTCAGACAGTTTTCACTTGACCTCGACCTCATTTCATGGATCAGTGAACAAGGTTAAGTTTTGGTGGTCAAGTCCATATCTCAGATACTCTATGCAATAGGTCTAGTATATTCGGTGTATGGAAGGACTGTAAGGTGTACATGTCCAACTGGCAGGTGTCAACTGACCTTGACCTCATTTTCATGGTTCAGTGGTTATAGTTAAGTTTTTGTGTTTTGGTCTGTTTTTCTTATACTGTATGCAATAGGTCTACTATATTTGGTGTATGGAATGATTGTAAGGTGTGCATGTCTAGCTGGCAGGTGTCATCTGACCTTGACCTCATTTTCATGGTTCAGTGGTCAAAGATAAGTTTTTGAGTTTTGGTCTTTTTTTCTAATAATATATGCAATAGTTCAACTATATTTGGTGTATGGAAATACTTTATGATCTATATGTCAGTCACACAGGTTTTATTTGACCTTGACCTCATTTTCAAGGTTCATTGCTCAGTGTTAAGTTTTTGTGTTTTGGTCTGTTTTTCTTAAACTATAAGCAATAGGTAAACTATATTTGTTGCATGGAAGAATTGTTAGCTGTACATGTCTGCCTAGCATGGTTCATCTGACCATGACCTCATTTTCATGGTTCATTGGTCAATGTTAAGTTTACTTGGTTAATTTTAAAGTTTATGTGACAGTTGTAATAAAGCTTTATATTTAGGACTATCAACATAATATCAATGATTAGTAAAGAAGGCTAGACATTTCAGCGTGTGCACTCTTGTCTAGAATCAACGCTTCCTAAATCTGTCACTTAAATGGACTCACCAAATTATATTGAATTGTTTCCTTTGTGTGCCTTATTTCATTAACTTTGAATTGGCCAATTTATTGATTTCTGTTCACTGATGGAATTAATTTAAAAACTTACTGTTAATTTTTGTAATTTTTATATGCCTTCAATGGGCATGATGGGAATTTGTAATGTGTGACTGACATCAACACATCGACGAAACCTCTTGGTTACCAATGGGTTGCAATTGAAATGTCTAGTTTATATATATAAATGAATATATGATACACATCGGTACAATGGACACACAGTGTTTGTAACTTTATGTATACATAATAGACAATCGTATAGTATAAGTTGGTAGCAGCGAGGTTAACATGGTTAATATCAATGAGTTAAAGATTCAAGTTAAAGGTAGAGACTTGTCGGTTTAGGTTCGAATCCCTGTATTCTCTTTGTTGTCTCTATTCTTAAGTTTTTCCGTTTTTCTTATTTTGTATTTTACTGGGGATATTTTTGTAATAATATTGGGTTTTCCCGTTTATTTTTGAATTACTATTGTCTATTTCACATAATTGAAAAGAGCGAATCTTATATTTCGGATGTTGGTAGACAAAATAATTACAGTTGACATACTTGGGGAGGCCTGCTACGAATGATTCCAACAACAAATGTAGGCGTGTTATGCACCATTGTGTAGATAAATCAATTTAGATTTATGGCATAAGAAGTTTTAGTGGGGTTGACAACTGAGAAATCGAAATATAACAGAATTTCGCCACCAGGTGACATTTTTAAAAATTGCAAGTTAAGTACCTTGTGTTATGTTAAGGTATGTAGGATTTTTTTTTTCAGAGACAAGTGCCTGTGGTGAAATACTGTCAATGAAAATATATCTTAATCAGTGGTTTTGTTAGCCCAAAATAGAAGGGCGCCGTGCCCTGGGTGCCCTCAGCCGCGCCCTGGGTGCCTTCATTCGCGCCCTTCTGCCCTGACGCCTATTTCCCAAAAACCCTTGTGCCGTTTTGGTAAAATTGCCTTATGCATCTTTATTAACAACATATACAGTAATTAAAGAATGTGAACTCGTGATACACACAGAAACGTAGACAAAAGAAATGAGCAGTGCCTTTTCCTTTCATAAAAAAGTGCCCTGCCCTCCACTGGCACCCTGCCCCTTTTGATTTCTAGCTGGAGCACTGTTAATGTAATATGTCTTTCTGCCATGAAATTTTTGGAACTTTTTTTAATGTGTTTCATAAAAAGTATGTGTATAACCATAAATTAGTTATGCATGTTTGTTTGTTTGTTATTATCAATGAAGTAAAACACTTTAAAGATATCATTATCCAAAATATTAAAAACTTATAACCTCCCTTTCATGAGACAAAATTTTATGACAATCCATCTATGAAATTTTGTCTCTATATACACAATATATAACCTTGGATAACCTCCCTTTAACAAGACAAAATTTCATACTATTTATCTATGAAATATTGTCTGGATATGGACAAAATTTAATATGAAAATTTGTCATTCTCTCGACATTATTTCATAGATGGGGACATAATTTCATGATACAAAATCAGGAAATATTGTCTTTTCATAGGACGATATTTTACTTTAAACAGGATCCAGACTTGGTACAGACACGTAAACAATGTGTTGGGGTTAAACATGTGTGTGAGTGCTAAACCCTCCCCTAACCTTGGACAGTGGTGTTGCAGCACAACATAAAAGAAAAACCAATGAAAATCGGTTGAAAATGGCTGAACTCATCAGATTGATACAAAGCAGAAAAACCTGCAAAAAGTAATCTTTACAAAATTAAATTTGTGATTTAGAGATGTATCATAAGGTACTGACATTAAATCTTTTATGAAAATGAATTAAAGATACATGGTAATTATAAATGAGAAAGCAATCCAACAATACTAGAAAAACAAGACAATTGGAGGGCTTGTTTCTACATATACATATAGTTTTACATTATATAAATATTTTGGCCATTTAGTATTGTAACAATAGACATTTGTAACACTTTTAAATCATTATTAGATATACATAGATGCCCATTAGATGGATAAAATAGAGGAATGATGTACCTAGTGGCAGGAGATAATGAAAAAAAGGAGAGCTATTTATATGTTACTATGCTTTACCATTATCAATGCTATAGGATGTTTGGTTTTGTACCATATGTTAGATGTTAGACCTAGAGACCAGTTTACACAGGCTGTCAGATGGATGTATGAGGTACTTCATTTTTATTTTAACAAATTATTACTGTACTATCATGAAATTAGCAATGACTATAAATATAATCAGACATTTTTTATCAGATTATGTAAATATACTTTTAAAGGAATAAATTTTACACATGGACATGTGTTTTGTTTAAGTGTTGCTTGTATTAGAAAAACATCATTAAATAAAAGCGTATCAAAGGGTATGTGCAGCTACTGAAGTATGCTCAAATTAAAGTACATCTACTAAATTGAGCATGTCATGCCTAGCTTACACTTTTCATGTTTATATTAAAACGTTTTTGTTGTCATTGATTTTAGGAATATATCAGGTATGATCATCCATGTTTTACTGAACCCAACCATGTTATTATTGAAGTTCCAGTCACAAATGTAAACAAAAAGTACTACAGGAACCATCTGATGTGTTCTGTTAATGAACAGTCCAAGTGGGAAGCAGATATCATTGTAAGTAATTTCATAGTATCTTATACACTGATGCATGATTTTCAATACCTAGTTTCATTATATGACATGTGGTATTTTATTAGTATGTGTAAATTAATAATGGCGAATACTAAAACTAAATGTATTTCATTCTTTGTGTAACACTTTATTATTTTAGGGTTATTCATGACGATACATGTAGTATTCAACCTAAAAGTGCCTAAACTTCTCAATTAGAGAATGGACCAATCAGTGACGTAAAAATTAAGACCCAAAGATTATATGCCATGGAAAGGAAACAGTCATTGAATTTTGAAACAGCTGTAGTCCTCCAGTTATTTTGTAGCATGTGATATCTTTCATTAATTTCAAGTTTTCTTCCTGTAGTTGGGCTGAATGATCCTTAGGGTATCTAGTTTAAGTTTGTGTCTTTTGTCTGTAGTTGGGCTGAATGATCCTTATGGTATCTAGTTGAAGTTTGTGTCTTTTGTCTGTAGTTGGGCTGAATGATCCTTAGGGTATCTAGTTGAAGTTTGTGTCTTTTGTCTGTAGTTGGGCTGAATGATCCTTAGGGTATCTAGTTGAAGTTTGTGTCTTTTGTCTGTAGTTGGGCTGAATGATCCTTAGGGTATCTAGTTGAAGTTTGTGTCTTTTGTCTGTAGTTGGGCTGAATGATCCTTAGGGTATCTAGTTGAAGTTTGTGTCTTTTGTCTGTAGTTGGGCTGAATGATCCTTAGGGTATCTAGTTGAAGTTTGTGTCTTTTGTCTGTAGTTGGGCTGAATGATCCTTATGGTATCTAGTTGAAGTTTGTGTTTTTTGTTCCTGCCAATCAACCAACACGGCTGCCATGGGCTAAAAATAGAACATAAGATTACAATGAAAAAGGGTAAAAATGCTTCATTTCCACCAAAATTTTACTATGAATCCAGGTTATAATAAAGGACTATTAATACTAATTTTCCTATTTTTATTCCCCCGCAACTAAAAGTTGGGGGCATATTGTTTTACCCCTGTCTGTCCCATTATGGGTATATAGTTATTCCACATAACTCCTCCTACAGTTTGAATGCTAGGAAGTTTTCACTTTGCTGGCTGTTTGTACATATATTGAAGGTGTGCATGTGGTCAGGCTTTTGATTTTTATTAATATTTGCTCTTTTGGGAGATATTTTTTGTCTCGCCTTGACGGAGTTGAAAAGCAAGACATAGGTATGCTGTTTCCGGCAGCAGTGGTGGCATCAACAATGTATTAGTTTGTGATTAGGTCTAGTTTATGGTGAACCACTAGTGGTAGGTCAATGATATTTGGTATGCAGTTGTATTAGCATTGGCACATCTCATTACCATGGAGATTATTTGGCCCTGCCCCCTCAGTCATGGTCTATTGAAACTTTGCTTAGTTTATATGTATGAGTTTGTGATAAGGTCAGTTTATGGGGAACTGTAGTGGTAGGTCAATGATAATTGATATGCAGTTGAATAAGCATTACCACATCTCATTTCCATGGAGAATATTTGGTCCTTACCCCTCGGTCATGGTCAATTGACTTTGAAACTTTTGCTTAGTTTACATGTATTAGTTTGTGATTAGGTCAGTTTAAGATGAACCACTTACGTTAAGTCAATGATATATGGTATGCAAATGTATTGGCATTTGCAAGTTTTATTTCCATGGAGATTATAATACCCCACCCCCTCATTATGGTTCATTGACTTTGAAACTTTTACATAGTTTACAAGTTAATGTTTGTGTTTAGGTTTGTTTAAAGGGAACGACTTATGAAAAGTCAATGGTATTTGGTATGCAGTTATATTAGCAATGGCACATCTCAATTCTATGGAGATTTTTAAGCCCTGTACCTTCAGTGAGTCATGGTTCATTGACTTTGAATATTTGCATAACTTACATGTTAAAGTATTGCTATTTTAATTTCAACATTTGCATTATCAAAATTACAAAAAGGCGAGACATATCTCTGTGTTAACAGTTTATTGGAGTATTTACCTGCATAAGAGGTGCATAGTGGTTCATTTGCACCAAAATTTTACTATGAATCCAGGTTATAACAAAGGACTATTAATACTTATTTTCCTATTTTTTATGCCCCCGCAACTTAAAGTTGGGGGGCATATTGTTTTACCCCTGTCCGTCCCATTATGGGTATATAGTTATTCCACATAACTTCTACAGTTTGAATGCTAGGAAGTTTTCACTTTGATGGCTGTTTGTACATTTATTGAAGGTATGCATGTGGACAAGGTTTTGTTTTTTATTAATATTTGCTCTTTTGGGAGATAGTTGAACTTTGTCATTTTGGAGTATATACTCCCATAAAAGGTGCATAGAGTTTCCGGATAATTCCTCCTACAGTGAACCATAGACCTTTGTGCTCCCATGTTCAACTTTGTGTATTTTAAAATATCACTTTGCATCTGCAGGGGCATCATTTGTGTGTCCCAGACACAATAATATCTCAAAGAAAGTCCTACATTGACTTTGTTATAATACAGATACTTCAGAGTGGAGTGAGGGGGGCATCACTTTGTCTAGTTGCCTATTATTTCAATACTATATTAGATCATAAGGTAGAAACCATAAACAGCAATACAACATCTTCAGAAATGCCACTGTGAAACGATTGGATGACACGGTTTGCCTATTGTCTTGGAAACTATAATAACAACAAAACTGATCAACAATTACAAGATCTACAAAATGCTAAATCACAGAAACCATTGGCATTGGATTACAAATTTATAGAGTTATTGCCCCAAAATGATAATTTTGTAAATTGTTTTTGAGTGTTTTCTACTATCTCAGTAAAAGTGAGGCGATTTAGGTATAGTTTCCATGGTTTTAGAGTAGAAGGTAAACTTTATTTGGTCTAAAGAATCACAGTAAAATGTACATGTCCTTCTGACCATTACCTCATTTTCATGGTTCATTTACCAATGTTAAGTTTTTTTTTTATACAAATAATGCAACCTTTATCTCTGGAAGGTAAACAATATAGTATTGAGTTAGAATGAACTCAACAGGCAATACATTATACCAGTGTAATAGGAAGTTGACATGCTGGTCCTTTTCAATCTCATGCAACAATAGCTTTTTAATGTTTCTACCAGGATCTACCAACATTCAAAGGGATTAAAACTTTTTTTAAAAATGAAGCAATCATTTTGGTCAAATAAATTTTACTGCAGGTAGCCTGTATGTATATTGATTTTTATTACAGATGGAAAAGGAAATAGATAAGTTGAGACTATCGTACCCCAAATATGTTTACCCAGTCAGTGGATATCTACAACTTATAACTGTGGATAGATGGAACATCAAGAAGTTGAAGGTCATCATTATGCCTCATTCTCATGTGGATCCAGGTAATTCTGTATCTTTTTATACTGCATACAATTTCTAAGACTCCAGGAACTGTAAAGTTCAATTAAACTGAACTTTAGAAGACAATTGTTGTAAGCACAGAAGAAAAGAAAAAAAAATTTACCATTGTTTTCAAATGGCTGTGTATAAAGCTTTCAGTATCAATATGCTGTTTAAATGTTATCAAAAAGGAAGGTTATTTTTTTGATACAGCATTTGATTTTAAACATACATTTGATTAAGAAATATGGTAAACCTCATGTTTGTCAGAGGTGATAGAGATCATGAAATAATTGATTTTAATGAACACTTTTTGGAAAAATTAGATCTTTATGAGAATCGATATATAAGGAAATTGCATCCTTTTATATCCCTTTTTTTTTGGCATTTTGAAAAACTTCTGAAATCTTAAAGTCATCCTTTAAATAGATAATGTGTCTGACAAAGCTTCTGACTTCAAATTGATGGACCATTGCTAATTTTAATTCTTGACCTGAAGGACTTTCAACATACATATAGTCCTAATCAGTAATCGGATGAGACATTGCAGTGTATGCAATTTTCAAACAATACAATTGCTAAAAAAAGTGTTAAGATAATCTAGTAACAAACATGAAAATTTTTATTTTTGTTTTCTGCCACATAATTTATTTTTAGATAAACACCTCTTGTTGATTTACATGACAGAATCTTATATCGCAGTATCCAATTTGAATTGAAAAACTACCAATAATAAAACAGAAATTTACATTTAGATATGTTTTCAACCTTCATTTAAAATTCATGCTATTTATTTGCAAATTTTATGGGTTTAACTATACTTCATTTATTTGATAAAATATATAATAAGCTAAGTAACACTTGTCAGTTTATTTACAATTAAAAAAAAACACCCTTTAAAACATTCATTCTTAGACACTTATATTTATACAAATTTAATGCCATAACCATTTAAACTGTATATAATTAGAGAACGTTTATTTGTCTAGCCAATTTATATGAGGTTAACTTGGTTTTGTTTGTAAGAAAATATCTGCTTATCATCCCAAACCATATACTGAATAGATTTTCAGCCAAACACAAATTATTCAGCATGTATTATATTAACTGATGAAACCGAAACTGTAAACAGATCTACTGTCAGTGTTACTAAAATTAGAACACTAGGAATGAAACACTACAAATGGTAAGACATTCTGCCGTTACTATATAACTTCTTGGTCCAGATGTTTTTTTATATAACTTGAATCGTATTTTGTCTCTGCTGAATTATGCTTGAAAGCAACTTTTGATTATTGCCATGAAACTTTGTTCATATTGAGTTTTGAATTGAAGATATGTGAATGGGTGTAGATTATAGACTCATTAGACACTCTAAATTTAATATTTTTCAGGTTGGAAGTCAACTCTACAAGGTTACTTCACAACTTATGGGAAAAACACCCTAAACAATATCATATCAATGTTGTCTAAGAACCAGAGTACCAAATTTATATGGTCGGAAATGGTTTTCTTATCAGAATGGTGGAATCAGGCTAGTCAGAACAGGAAAGATGATCTTAAACGGTAAATTAACATTCCATTTCCCCATATTTAACAAATATTGTTTTGAAGTAGATATATGTTCTATTTATATTTATGACAAAAAAAGTGGTTTTAAAAGGGAAAACATATCTTTTAGTAAAGGGTGATTATGAAATATAAAATAATATCTGTTTTAGTTCTCAAATAAGAAATTGATGGAGGTTTCTCATGTATGACAAAATATATTAACCACCATCCCTCACAACAGCAAGATTAATAATAATAACTATTGTATGTTTGAGATCTTTAAATTATCCAAAACCTTTTTTTTTTAGAAATCCAAATTTTATGTGTGGTAGCTTATTTGAAATCCCAGTTTTTAACCAGGTTTTCTGAAGGGAAAATCCAGTTCTTGAAATGGTGCCAGTGGCGTGCTGCCAACAGTTTCTGTGCATTATCTTATGAACCGTTCAGCAAATGCTTTTCAAATTTTAATATGTTGGTACTAATGACAAAATCGAGGTCAAGTTCAATATTGTCAATTTTCACTTGGAAAATGTCACTTTATGTAGTTTTTGTGCAATAACTTATGAACTCTCTGTCAAGTAGATAGTAGAACTTATCTTTCAGGGTCTTAAATACAGTTTAACACTAGAATCCATTCTGAGTATTGTAGAGATATTATAAAAACTGACTCTTTAATTGAATTTTGAACTGATCTTTTCTGTTTAGATTGCTTCATAATAAACAGTTAGAGATAACAACTGGGGGATGGGTGATGACAGATGAAGGAACAGCCCATTACACTGCCATGCTCGATCAGCTGATAGAAGGTCATCAATGGCTTCAACAAAATTTAGGTAAAAACTTGTTTATATTTTATATTTTTGTGTTTAACATAAATGATTACAACTGATAATTACAAGTTCTCAGTTGAAACAGGATAGAAATGTGCAGCAATGACTAACATTCTACTGGTTAATAAGCCTTGTATAATAAATTTTTTTTTTTATATTTATATTTTGAGATATAATGTATAGTTATTCTATATTTATCAACCTCTAAAATACCATCTCAGAGGATCATGAAGCAATACTTTTCAAATAAAATTATCCTTAATACAAGCTCTTGCACAGTCACTATTCAGTATACAATAAAAAAATTGCTTATACATTATAAACAATTGAGAATAAGTTATGATCAATTTTTATCTTTAGATCTTTGGTGAAAATATTTCCTAATTGATTTTTTTTATGCCCCCGCCATAGGCAACGGTGGCATAAAGTTTTACCCTTGACTCCATCCGTCTGTCCCATTTTTGTTTCTACACTCTAACTTAAGTTTGCCTCATGCAAATTTTATGAAACTCATACACAATGCTAAAAACCAAAACTCTCAGACAGAGTTTGAATTTGGGTAGTGAGTCACTTTCGGTTCTAGAGTTATGCCCCTTTATAACTTGGAAAAATCACATTTTATTTCATTTCCGTACTCTAACCTAAGTTTTTCTTATTTAAATTTTATGAAACTCTTTCACAAAACTAAGAACTAAAACGATCAGACAGATTTCGAATTTGGGCAGTGAGTCGCTTACAGTTTTAGAGTTATTGCTCCTTTATAATTTGGAAAATTGAAAATATTTCGTTTCCACACTCTAACTTAAGTTTGTCTCATCCAAATTTATGAAGCTTATACACAATGCTAAGAACCACAACATGCAGACAGAGTTCGAATTGGGGTTGTTAGTCATTTTCTAGAGTTATGCCCCTTTTTTTACTTGGAAAATTGGTAAGCTTGAGGGGGGGCATTCGTGTCTTTAGACACATTCTTCTTTTATTTAAAAATCTTGTTATAAGTGTTATCTAATTATGTCCTATAAAAAAAAAAACAATTTGGTGTCGTGGATATCACTAATGTTAATATAATCATTTGTTATTTTTCTAGCATCTTTGGCAGCCTTTCAAGAGCATCATCAATATTTATATAATAACTTTATTGTTTAGGGCGATTTCAGGATAAGTTTGATTTTGACAACAAATCATTTACAGTTGATATATATGCATTAGCAGCTATTAATCTCAATAGTACATGGAGCCCTGTCTGCTCCACCTGAATATGAATATTAGTGGACACTAGATTTATGGCTTTTGAAAAACAACTACAGTAGTCCCTCTATGAAATGGTGACTCAATCCCCCTATTGGGTTAACGTTTAGCTTTTATGGATGCATTTAAGCCTGTGGACAGCGACTTCTGCTATTAGGCAGTGGCTCGTGTTTCTATGTTTACAATGTCTTAACCCCTCTCCAAATAATGCAATATTATTTTATATGCTAAATTTTCTGTTTTCATTATGTTATGTCAATTATTTTAATCAATTGAACCAATCTGTTCAAGGCTTCATTGGATTTTCTCTTATAATCATATTCAAAGTATAATGAATGCATTGTATTTATACTCAGAAACTCTTGACATAAAGTATAAGTAACAAGTATGTTTATTGTAGGTATACATCCAAGTGCTGGATGGTCTGTAGATCCATTTGGTCATTCCCCAACCATGGCATATCTTGTGAAACATTCTGGCATAAATGGCATGGTTATTCAGAGAATTCATTACAGTATAAAAAAACATCTAGCAGAGCAGAGGAGTTTGGAGTTCTTCTGGAGACAGGGATGGGGTAATTTTAATGTTTCATGGAATAAGATCCTCTTGGAAAGACAGAAGTCTACACTGAAAACAAGACACGTATACTGATAACTACAGGTCATACAAGGGTCATATGGTTAAGGAAGAACTTAAAACCTATTATGTCTTTCTTTATATGACAAATTAAAAATATATGGAGCAGAATTAATTGGTTGCAAAAAATAAGAAATGAATAAAATGAATGGGGGAACATGTTGCTTATAAATAATTTTCAAAAAGGATAAATATCAAAGAAAGAAAAAGTTAGTTCAATTAAAGATCGGAGTTATATTTTGAACTGATGAAGGGTTTACTGTAAAATAAAATGATAAATAAAAACAGGAAAACTGGAGTATGTTTGGAACTTCTAGTAGGTTTATGGTTATCAGCAATGGACACCTCTGATACTTATCAATGGTCAAAAACTAGTAATTACAAATGTAGTTTTATCATATTTCCCCAATTTTGTATCATTATGCCAAGCTCTTTACAAAACATAGTATAGTGACTTTCTGATGTTCTTAGGATTTTACTTGACAAGATGAAGTTTGACCTAGATTAAACAAATACATCAGAAATGTCAACCCTAGCAAAATCAATATGAATAATATGAGATATGGAGTAGATACTCAAAGGCACACAATGACAAAAAAAAAAACCAAAAGACATTTAGAGGTCAACATAAAGTCTTGAACAATGTACCTTATGATCCGTAGCACATTGAATTATTTCTATTTTTTATTGTCTTTTAGTTGGTATATACTGAGTGTACACCTACTACACATTTATGTTGATGAGATTTTGTTAAAATTTGTATTTTAAATACAAAAAAACATCAGCAACTATCATGTTCTGACAAACATTATTAGGATAGCACCATGTGGGGTCTCTTACTGTATGAAGGTGTACATCCCCCTAGGACAGCCACTGAAGAGAGTCCTGACCTTGAACAGTCACATGAACATGAGGCAGTGTTGACCTAGTTTTTGACTTGCTTGTGAGGAGTCACAGAATGGGAGCCATAGGGATTACAATCCTGTGACGGCCTAAACTATTTGTATAAAGCTTTATATTTCAGAAGTTAGAAGACCTGGATGCTTAATACCTTATATGGAGATTCCTTATGTTGTGAATTTTCCGTCTGTCACATGTCCATTGTCCTTGACCTCAATTTCATGGTTCAGTGACTGCATGAACAAAAATCATAGTTCACATATTTTGTCATTATAGGATAATTATTATTTGGTATATGGGTTCACCTGACCTTAACATAATTTCATGGATCAGTGATCAAGGGTTAGTTTATATGGTCAAGGCTGTATCTCAAATACTAGAAGCAGTAGGTTAACTATATTTGGTGTATGGAATGGTTGTAAGATGTACATGCTCAGCTGGCAGGTTTCACCTGAACCTTGACCTCATTTCCATGGTTCAGTGGACATTTACTTTTTGTACTTTTGTCTTTTTCTCAGATACTATAAGCAATAGGGCCTCTATATTTGGTGTATGGAATGAAAGTAAGGTGTAAATTTATGACTGGCAGGTTTCATCCGACTTTGATCTCATTTTCATGGTTCATTGGACAATGTTTAGTTTTTGTGGTTTGGTCTATTTCTTAGATACTATAAGCAACATGCCTTCTATCTTTTTGTGTTTGGAATGATTGTAAGTTGTACATGTCTGTCTGGCAGTTTTGATATGACCTTGACCTCAATTTCATGGTTCATTCGTCAAGTGTTATTTTTTGTGGTTTGGTCTGTTTTCCAGATACTATAAGCAATATTACCACTATATTTGGTGTATGGAATGATTGTAAGGTGTCAAGTCTGTCTGGCAGGGCTCATTTGACCTTTACCACACTTTCATGGACCATTGATAATGTTAAGTTTATGTGATACTTGTTGTAAAGACTTCATATTACAGACTTTTAACATAGATTTAATCATAAGTAAAGCAGGGGAGACATTTCAGGGTGTGCACACTTGTTTTGAACTCTTAGTAAGTCCTTCCTCTTGTTTATTTTGACCAATACAAAAAAGTTACTTATGATAATTTACAGTATTGAATACTTGTAATTTTATTCTTTTTGAGAAATCATACCATTGGCATGTCTAACTATCATTAAAATTGTTTTTATTCTGCTAAAAGTTAAGGCCATACATATTGAAATAAAAATCTATCCATGTGGCAAAAGGTTGAATTAATAAACTTGTGATAAAACTAGGGTGAAGTTAATTCATATTGACATTAAAAGTTAGTTTAATAATGTAAAGTTGAAACCTGAATGTGACCAGTGTTAACATGCAGCCTCCCATTGTTTGATGAACAAAGTTCATTTTGCAAAATAGAGTTTGAAATGAATTTAAGTATGAAACCAAAATAAATGCATGATCCTAAATTGCAAATGAATGATTTGCATATATATATGATTTTTTTTTAGCTTCAACTGACTCAACAGACATATTTTGCCATATGATTCCATTTCTGTCTTATGCCATTCAGCATTCCTGTGGACCAGATCCTTATGTGTGTTGTCAGTATGACTTCTTTAAGAAGCAATGTTATCATGGAAGCAAGAAAGTTGATGTTCAATCTATTGACGATAACAACATTGAGTCTTTGTAGGATTATTTATGCACCTTATAACATATTTACTTTTGTTTAATTACCATGTAAAGCAAGCCACTGATAGGCAAAGAAATTCAATATGTGGAATATGTTCAATATTTTTTTAAATGTGCTGGTTAAACACACTTTGAAAAATATAAGAAATAATAGTGTGTTTCCTGAATTGCTTCCTATCATGTATCCTTGTGCAATTCTTTTTTTTTTTTCGTGCAAAGCATTCAAAGCTGAGTATCCTACATATGAACTGTAAAATTCTTGATACAACATGTGCAGTTATGCACTTCAAATTTTGATCAATAATAAGAATTATATATACGTTATGTGTCAAAAGCAAACTTAAATTTTTTCAAATAGTTACTTTTCTGTGGATTTTAACATATGGTCTAAATATGAATAAAAGGAGAAGTGGGATATACATCAATAAGACAGCTACCCATTAGTACAGTAATAATAGGAGAAATCCCTAAGATTATGAAGGCTTATAACTTTCCTTGTAGAATAAGAGTGGTTTTTTTTTTAGTGGAGTCATTTTTAATTGCCAAAAATGTCCCAATAAATGAAACTTTCAAAAAATCAGCAGATTTAAAATTTGTAATTCAATTTCATCTATTCATTATATGATTTGATAGAGGTGAACAACTGTGGGAACAGTTTCAGAAGAAAGCAGAGCTTTACAGAACTGGTGTTATTCTGGTACCCCATGGTGATGATTTACGGTATGCTACATCACTGGAATGGCATAATCAGTTGATCAACTTAGAAAAATTGATGACTTATATAAACTCCAGGTCTGATTTTCATACAGAGGTGAGACATTCTGAAAATATTATTCACCAAGTGTGAGTCAATTTTCTAACTCAAGGCTGTCAATAAAGAGGGATGGGACATTCTACTTAATCTTCAGGTCTTGTCCTCAATATACTAGAGGTCATCCTTGGAAACTAAATAAGAAGAGATGTAATTTAACTCAATGTCTTCATACTTATCACAAAGGATCATTTATCAATAGAATAGTCTGTCATTAGAGAATCATTAGAAACTGATAGTGCAAAATTGTTAATATCTTTAAAAATCGTCTAAACAAGGAAAGCTGGAAAGGAAAGAAGTTTAATCCTACATAGATGATAAATAGTAGCTATTTTCACTTTTGGTATAAGCCCGTTAATTGATTCAATTTAAATACCATTGTTTACCAGAATTGGAAAATAAGTTATCCTTACTAAGTGCACAGCTCATGGTTTAAAAGTCTATGTTAATTATAAAAAAGACCTTTTCAACTTAAAGATCGCCTCATTAATCCAGGTTGGTAGAATAAGAGCTTAGGCAAATGAACTTCAAGGCTGCCATCAAACAGATATAAGATAGTCTTCAAAACTCTGCGCTTATCTGCAAATAGAGATTATGCACTTATATAATTCATTTAAGGATGTCTGCACACAAGAAGTGCTACATTCTACATAAATAGGTGATACATTTGTCATAGACCTTATCCTTAAATAGAAATTAGGCATAATATAAACAAGTTTGTTGACAGAGTGGGTCATATCTGCCATCAATGGTTAGACATTGCTATTCTAAGAAGCCTTATCTACAAAAAAAGTGTCCAGTATAGATATGTGATCAATTTTTAAGAAGTTGCTATACATTTGAATGTATATAATATAGATATTAAGTACAGAAATGCATAAGAAAGAAAGATCACTGCCTTCCATTTTTATGCTTCTTGCAAATATTTTGGTGAATCATATTCCTGTTGCTTTACAAATGATTTTTGGATGAAAAAATATATTTCTACTTTGCCATCAACACTTTTTGACCATACTGTGGAAGCTGTTATTATTTAGGAGTTGCATGGTATGCTCCTGCAGATGGGAAAGCCAACACAATTGATAGTTTCTAGAGAACAACTAATGTGTGCCAAGACCAAAATTCTTGGTTTTTTTGCCATTTAATAATCATAAAGTATATTCTATTTAATATATTTTCATTCAGAGTTATGTCCCTTGAAAGATTGAAAAATCATGGTCTTCAGATGGTAACTTTAGTTTTATGATTAACAGCTTGCATAGTTTTAAAACATATTTACAATTATTATTGTTTTTTCTGTTTTGAGCAGGACATCTTGCATTTTGGAAAACTAAAAATGATTAAAAAAAAAAAAAAAAAGGTGAGACAAACTTTCCAGGAGAAGTTTGGAACATTATAAAATTATTTAAATGAAGTGAAGTTTGGAACATTATCAGATTATTTAAATAAAGGACATATTTTTTTTTTTTAAGGTGAAGTTTGGAAAATTAACAAATTATTAAATTAAAGGACATATTTCTTTTTGCAGGTTAAGTTTGGAACATTATCAGATTATTTAAATGAAGTTGCAACATCTAAGACCAGATTTCCAACCTTATCTGGGGATTTCTTCACATATGCAGATCGTGGGGAGGATTACTGGAGTGGATACTATACAACACGTCCACATTATAAACACATAATCAGACGTGTACAAGATTTACTAAGGTATTTATTTTTAAGGCAGTTTCTGTCTTTATGTCATCAGGTAGGCCCAATACTGGTCACTGACCAGATGAAGAGTTCATCATTCCTTAACTAGATATTACATAAGATGAAAATATATTACCACAGGGTTTTTTCATGCTAAAGTTCTGACAATTGGAGATGTAAAATAAACTGCTAAGCATATTAAATCTTCAAGAAGCTGATTATGGGAGATCTTAGTCAATTATTTTTTTTATTATTGATATTTTGCTCTAAAGATGTTTCAAGATAAAATCAAAAAAATGTTTCACTGCAACTTTGTTGTTTATTTAAATTTTCAGGTCATTAGAAATTCTGTTTACCTACTGTCTTGCTGATGCTGTCAGGAAAACAAACCAAACAGTAATTCACTCTCTTACTGACAAAATTGGTGACCTTAGTTATATCAGACAACAGGTGGCATTGTTTCAACATCATGATGCCATCACAGGAACTTCTACTTCTAAAGTTATGAAGGATTATGGGAAAAGGTATTTTAAAATAAAAGTTATAGGAGTTGTGTGGTAAACATTTATCAAATTGAAACTAATTATGCAAATTAATGTAAAATGAGAACTTCAGACAATCATGATATGTGATTGACAAATGCCTAAAAGATATGGTCATATAGACAAGTCCTAACAAACTGTGAATTTATTTAACACAGATAGTTTATGAAATTGACACTAAGGTCCTTAAATGAATCAAAAATAAAAGTTTGCTAAACTTGTGTTGTGAGTATTCAACCTTGGTTTTCTCTATCAGTGAAAAATAGAACTCAAATTCAGATAAAATATACTTGTTAGCTCACCTTACCAAAGGCTTGCATTGTCAATTAACTTTTACAAAAATATTTTCCTCTTAAACAACTGGGATAATTGTAACCAAACTTGGCCACTATCATCATTAGGATATCCAGTTCAAGTTTTTGAGACTGATGAACCCGTCTGTCAACCTAAACATGACATGGTTAAAAAAAGAACATATGGGGAGGGGGATTGCAAGTTTTGTCTGTTATCTTGAAAACTGCTATAGATATAGAAAATTGGACTTGGCAGAAATGTTCAGAATGTAATTGCTTTAATGATGTTTTTTTTTCCCAATTTTTATACGACCGCAAAAAATTTTTGTGGTCTTATATTGGTATGACGTTGGCGTCGTCTTAGTTTTCGCACTCTAACTTTAGTTAAAGTGAATGGATCTCAATGAAATTTTACCATAAGGTTCAATAACTCAAAAGGAAGGTGGGGATTGATTTTGGGGGTAATGGTTCCAACAGTTAAGGAATTAGGGGCCAAAAATAAGCATTTTTGTAACTTCCAGGCATAACTTGTGTGTAAGTGTATGGATCTCTCTGACATTGTACCACAAGGTTCCATATCACAAAGGGAATGCTGGGATTGATTTTGGGGGTAATTGCTTCCAAATTTTAGGAATTAGGGGCCAAAAAGGGGCAAAAAACAAGCATTTTTCTAGTTTCATGACAATAACTTATGTGTAAGTCTATGGATCTCTCTGACATTGTATCACAAGGTTCCATATCACAAAGGGAATGCTGGGATTGATTTTGGGGGTAATTGCCTCCAAATTTTAGGAATTAAGGGCCAAAAAGGGGCAAAAAAACAAGCATTTTTCTTGAAAAAAAAAGGCATTCAGAGGAGTAAAAAAAACATTTAAACACACATTTACTCATTCAAAACCATATTTGTTCTATTTAAGTACACTAATGGCGTGTATAGGTATGTATTAGGTCCTCTTAAGCTTAAAATCCCCTATGGAAATTTTGAAAAGTTGGCAGGTATGTAGTTGAAATTATCAGTTGACTCCTTATAGAAGTTATTGTTGACATATTTACCTATTTTTCATTTTGGGCAAAGATTATAAAAGATAGAGAGAAACTGTTAACAGTAAAAATGATCAGCAAAACACCATGTACTAAAGAGTATTTAGTTATTAATTATATTCTAGTCTACATTGTGATGATACACATAGATTGAGTTGAGGGACAATGTTCAATTAGGTCTTCTCAGATATTATGAATAATTGGTGTTTGGTATGATTGTAAGGTTTACCATGTCTGTCTAGCAGGGTTCATCTGACCTTGACCTCAATTACATGGATCATTGAAAATGTTATATGTATGTGATACTTGTAGAATAACCCTCATATTACAGACTCTCAACAAAAATTCAATCATAATAAGTATAGCAGCAAGACATTTCATTGTGTGCACTCTTGTATGAATAATGAAACAGATTTGGGATTTTTTTGACAGATTACATTCAGGATACCAGAAAGGCATCTTGTTGTTAGAGAAGATGTTGTCATACTTAGCAAAGGATGACAAAGAACCAGAAGTTGCAGAAAAAATGAGTCTGGTATGGTTGTTTTCTGTTTTTTACCCTGATTTATTTTTGCCTCGTCAAAATCGCTAAGCCAACACTAAATTTGTACTGTTTCCAGCTTTTTGGTGTCAAAAATGTATTAGTTTGTGATTAGGTCAGTTTTAGAGAAACCACTAGTGGTATTTCAATGACATTTAGTATGCAGTTGTATTAGTTTTGGCACATCTCATTTCCATAGAGATTATTTGGCCCCACCCCCTTAGCCATTGCCTATTGAATTTGAAACTTTTGCTTAGTTTACATGTATTAGTTTATGATTAGGTCAATTTAAGATGGACTGCTAGTGGTAAGACAATGATATTTGGTATGCAGTTGCATTAGCATTGGCACATCTCATTTCCATCGAGATTATTCAGCCCATCCCCCTCAGTCATCATGGTCATGGTCTATTGACTTTGAAATTTTTTCTAAGTTTACATATTCTAGTTTGTGATAAGGTCAGTTTAAGATGAAACACTTATGGTAAGTCAGTGATATTTGGTGCAAGTGTATTATCATTGGCATTTTACATTTTCACAGAGATTATTTGGCCCTGTGCCTTCAGTCATAGTTCACTGTCTTTGAATGTTTAGCATAGTTTTCATGTTAAAGTATTGCAATTTTGATTTCATCATTTGCATTATACTATCAAAATTACAGGCAATACATATCTCTGTTTCTACAGTTTATTCCAGATTTTCTGAATTATAAATCATTTTGAACTAAATTTTTAGTTCAGCTTAATTAAACTATCGTTCTTCTGTCATCACTTTTTGATTCCTATTCATAAATTCATAAATTTTTTTTTTTATTTATTCATCCGATCACCCAGTCTGAATTCCAAAATAGTCAATACTGTGGATTGAAATTATAACATGTACTTTTTTGAAATGTAAACAGCTTTAGAAACTAATGTATGGATGATGATATTATTTTTTTTTTTCATGGATTATAATGATGATGTTGATTCAAAATCCAATATTTCCACAAGGTTGGGCATTGATTTACATCTAAAATGTTTTGGAAAATCTTATAAAATTCTTTGTTATTAAATTTTTCATAGATTGAAGTAAAATATATTGAAATTACTTTTTACACTTAAATTTTGTTCTGAAAAAAATAAAATTTTCTGCTCTTATGTGTTGTAGTACAAATGAGGCAATATCATCATTTCATCAATAAAGTTCCACGTAATATTATTATTGACACAATAATTAGCATGACCTCATTGTTATAGTTTTTTTGTAGACTTTTAACTGGACACAGCCACACAAATTTATTGACCAGAAAGTAATTAATCTAAGTAGTCCAAAGTGAGTATTCTTGAAATTTTTTGTAAGAAATATTCTTTATTGTATGATTAATGTTGATTATGAAGTTATAAAGTAAACAAACCTGTTGTCATCTAGCATTTTTGTCGAGCCTGTGACATTTATATTGCGAAAGCGAGACATAGTGATCCTAGATTCCGTCAGCGGCGTCAACATTTAGGTTCAGTCTGCAGTTAAAGTTTTTTTTAGACATCAATAACTTTGTCAAACCTTCGTGGAATTTTATGAAATTTGGACAGAAGCTTGTTTATGACCAACATACAGTATCCAGAGCAAAATTTTGAAAATATTTTTTTTCCGTATTTTACTGATAAATGGACTTTACAGTTAACATTCACATTCAGTCTGAGGTTAAAGTTTTTCAGTCATCAATAACTTTGTCAAACCTGCATTGATTTTTATGAAACTTGGGCAGAAGCTTGTTAATGACAAAAATACAGTATCCAGAGCAAAACTTTGAAAATATTTATTTTCATTTTTTCACATTTTACTGATAAATGGACTTAGTTTTTGGGTTTTTTTTACAGTTAACATTGTTTTTTGGTTTTTTTTACAGTTTACATGATAATTGGTATAAGATTTAAACCAAAAATGTATTTTTTGCAACATGCCCAGATGGGATGCTTAGAAAAAGACACCCTATCTACCTTAATAAAGCTATGAAGTATAGAAATATACAAAGTGAATCTATTTTATGTATTCTAATTTTAAATCTAACTAATCTTTGTTAATGCCAGACTTGACATTTTTTTAGCAAGTGAGTAGTTGTATATTTGCTCATATTTATCCATTATAATTTGTTTTAGTTTCAATATATTTTTTGCTTTGCATGTTTGTGTATGTAGTATGGGATTTGAAAATGATCAAACCAATCAGGACTTTTTGTCTGGCCTGTACAGAAAGTCACAAAAGCGAGACATAGCAATCATACATTCCATCATCATCTGAGTTTTCAACAATTGAAACATCAATTACTTTCCTAAACCTTTATGTAATTTCTATGAAAATTTGACAAAAGCCTCTTCATATTCATGAGATAGGCTGGAGCAATATAATGAATTTTTTTTTTTCATTTTTCTTGATTTATCTAATGAAAAGACATTTTTGCATTTACCATTTAGATAGTCTGTAGTCAAAGGTTTTAGAACATCAATAACTTTGTCAAACCTTCATGGAATTTTACAAAATTTGGACAAACTTCTTCATTATCTAGGGATAGCACCTTGAACAAAATTTGATTTTTGTTTCCTCTTTCTCATTTTCCTGTATTTGAATGATAGATAAATGGACTAAGTTTTTTTCACAGTAAACATTACACTTTTACACTGCGGAGAAGTCTCTGGTGAGAGCAGAACCCTTTACAAAATTTCATGTAGCTTATAATATTTATTCATGTACTGAACAGGAAAATGTCTTATGAGTGGTTTAGTAATTGTCCTTCCCAAGCATTACTATATATAGAGTCATTGTCATAGGTGGAAGCTAACAAAGTGAGACTGTACTTATATCTAGAAATTGAAGTATTACATGTCTTGTTCCTTTATGTAAAAAAATCATACTAAGAATGTCCCTTTATTGTGAAGGGTTTGAAGAAAGCATGTCACGAATTATGGTGGATGGTTTGTGAGTTATTTCCATTATTTAACATCCAGCAACTGTCACAACCTCCCACAATGAATTTTTTTTTTTATTGCTCGTCAGTTTTTCAAATTTTTAATTTTCATTTCATCTTTTGTTAAGGATGTAGTCATGTCAGGTTTAGGGATTTTGTCAGATGTTCGGACTCCTTGGGTTTTTTCCTACCATAGAGGGTAAAATATTTTGCCCCGTATCACTCACTTTTCTTTTCATATAAGACTTCAATAGCTCATAAAAGGTCATTTACCAAAATTTAACAGATTCTAGATTTCTTTTCTTATGATTTGAGACCCAAATAATGTCAATGCTAAATATAAGGTAAAAGTCAGAGTCAGCCTTTTCCCACCATTTTTTAAAAATTAAATATTTCGAAAAGGAGTTCCATAACCTATCAATATTTTAAGCTTAAGCTTATTTTCTTCATTAGCTAATGCTCTTCTGATTTATAATATCAATTTTAAATTCCCGATATTTTTAATTTCTCCTGTTTACATCCTTAAGGTTAAAATTTTTTATATTATTAAAAAATAGGTTAAATTGCCTATATATCACTTACCATGCTTTGCATGGGCAGCATCCCGTTTTTTTCAGTTGAGAACCAGATTACAGTTGTCAAAAGAAAACAACTTGTATTTAAAATGTGTAAAATCAGAATCAAATCTGTATCCTACCGTAGTCTATAATCGGTCATCATGTTGGTTCATTCAGATTTTGTTATTGTACTTATCACACAGGAAAACTCCGCATTGACGTCACTACGCTAATATCAACGTACAAAATTATTGCAGAATACATTTTTTCTACTCTTCTAAATAAAAAAACATTTCTAGAGATATGTTTTCATTGTCATTCTAAAGTATTGTACAAAAATGCCAATTTTCTAATAGCCATTTCAAACCTTTTCAAAATCCATTGAGCGTCATCAATCTTAATGGCAGACCAAACAGGCCAAGCAAATCGTATTTTTAAGATATTCAAAATGGCAAGCACCTTACGTCTTACGCAATTTTCCCGCGAAAAAAAACCCCATCCAAATCGAAAGAAAAACTTTGGGAAACAAACGATAATCATGCCATATTTTTGTTCAGGAATATAGAGTAGGATAATAAAAAACAATATTCATATATTTTTCATAAAAAAAAATTTTGGTTCAATATAAAGAGATCGATATTCTGACCATAAGTAAATATTCATATATAATTCCATTGATGTCAAATTTCATGGCTAATAATGAGGTTTCCTATTGAATAAACCCCCAATTTATTGCAAACTATTTCAAAGCAATATCATACAAACAAATGATGTAATTGCCTTAGACTAAAAAATCCCCCAATTGACAATAGACCAATTTGATTGGACATCACGATTCAATGTGTCACGTGGTTTTGAAGCCATTAGAATTTGAATGTAAACAAACCGGGTCAGCTGCTCCAGTATGGAACAACATCGTACATTCAGTGACTGAGAAACAATTATGAGTAACCAAGCTTGACAATACACAGTAATAAAAAAAGAAAGCTAAGTCTACAGAAAAATAAAATAAAAAATGTCCTTAAGTGCACGACTTACCACCATTGCGGGATAATTGACTATTGTGGCATCAAAATTATTTTATTGTACTGCTGCATTCAACTTTTAATGATTATAGAAACAGGTGTAAACAATAAAAAAAAAATCTATAGGCCTGTATGCAGACTTTGCCAAAACCAAGAAATCACATTTTTCCCTCAATCCATAAAAAAAAAAAATGAATCCCCAGTATACCAATGTCTAATAATGGGGTATACTTTGACAAACATCACATGCAGCTCCTTGTTTATCATATACAAAAAAATATTTGAGAAAGACCTTAAAAAGAACAACTTAAAAATGATTGTTCAGCAAAGTTATGGTTTCCAAATGTAATGTATTATTTTATTGCGTCTTCTGTTGATTATTAATGTTTCAAGGGTGGCTTAGCTGTACTTCTGCTTATTCTGCCTGTCTTAAGCTGGAAACAAGAACATCACCGCTCCATGTCCATATTTTTTTTTGACTTTATGGAATAAAATTGTATTGTTGCACATCATACAGTGACTTCATACTATTCTTTCTATGTGTGATATAATGTTTTATACTCATCTACACCTATAGACAGGTTTTTCCAATTATCTGCCTTAGTTTGTGACGCGACTCCTAGACGTCGTTGTAGTACGATCGCCATTACAACCGTGAAAAAAATGTAAACAAGATATACATCTATTTCCCAGACCGCATATATTAACGTAAACACAAGAATGTGAAGCGTACTTGACCTCGGCAAAATTTCAAAGTAAATAATAAAGTAATTAGATAAGGAATGGACATTAAAATTATAAGTGTATTGCAGGCCAGGTGTCGTGTCCTTAAAATATAACTAATTTTATTTGATACGTTAGAACCGGGACATAATATTTGCGAATACGAATCCCAGGTTACATATCGATTATAATCATTTGGCAATCATAATATTGATTATTATAACCCGTACATAAATAAAAATAAGTTGTCTTGCGGGTCGAATGTGATATATCAGAAAAACCAGGTGCAATTTTATCAAACTCATAGAAATTTCTGTAGTCATGCAAAACCTATAATGAGGCAGTCCTAAAATTCAACAATCTTCTAACCCGACGGTCCTTTATTCGACAGCCCGTTTTCTCCGGCGCGCGGTTACTTACATCTTCTGAAAAAATTATACCTATAGACATGTACCGTTTGATGATAAACTTTTTTTCACAGAAACGATATTTTTGCTTTTGGTTCAACTCACGTATACTGCTCAAAATTTAGTGACGTTTTCGTATCACTTTTTTCTCCGAGTGAATTGCGCTATATGCTATCAGTGCGTCGGGCCATATGTAGACTTAACTTTGCAATTTAATTGGGCCGAAGAAGTTTTGAACTTTCACGGCCCATGTTATCATATAGTTAGTAGGTGTTCGATTCCAATTTCTTTTGTAGAAAAATTGCTTGACATGAAACTACTAGTATGCATAGCCTATAACATCATGCTCCGGCCCGTGCTGAAAATAAATGAATGTCATTAAACCACAAAAGACGCAAACGTGTAAATTAAAAGCAATGCTTAGAATTATGTTTTAAAAGCGTCATTTAGTGTTTTGCCAATTTCCCCCTCCCCACCACCCCAAAATAGAGGTCTCGTATATTTTCATCCTGAATCTGTATTAGACTCCTTTATGAGTCCCCGATATATATAATACAGTGAAATACAGAATTACAGTATTACATTAGGGATGTATATTGGACCATCCGACTAAAGTGAATATATACTTTTTATATAGATTAGACCGTTGGTTTTCCCGTTTGAATGGTCTTAAGTAATTTTTGGGCCCTTTATAGCTTGCTGTTCGGTGTGAGCCAAGGCTCCGTGTTGAAGACCGTACTTTGACCTATAATGGTTTACTTTTATAAATTTTGACTTGGATGGAGAGTTGTCTCATTGGCACTCATACCACATCTTCTTATATCTATTTAAGCACACATTCCTTCATATATATGGACCATTAAGACGAGGTTTATAAAGAAGTGCCCTTAATAGTAAGTTTTGCTGTGATTTGTCTATGGATGCAGCTGTTTGTAAAACCTTTAAGTTTTCAGCAAGAACTGGCACCCAGGAATAAAATAGTTTACTAGCCTTACTTTTCGAAATATGAAAGCGCCGTCCCAAATAACCAAACATCAAACTAAGTGTTAAGCTTTAAATCAGTACGATTAAGCAACAGCTGATCTGCAATATCGTAGTTGAAAAGTAAATTGTGTATTTATTCCACTAAAGTATAGAAAACTTAGTTACATAAGACAAGTATACAATAAGGCGTAACTGTCATTCATAATATGTATATTTATACGCTGATCGACGTGGTTTCCTGATTTTATTCAATTTTGAACTCCTTACTCCTCTGTTAACAATATGTTTGTCTGAGTTAATGTTGTCGGAACGTCGGTCCATTTTGCAGCCTAAAGATAGTCGTCATGTATAAAAAAAAATCGTCTCTTCATACTTGTTTGATTTGCATCCAATGCATGCATGTAGCCTCGGGTAGGTTTCATTATTATTATCTAAAGAAATGTGCAGGAACGGATTTAGGGGGTGCCCAGGCCCCCTTATGAAGTTTCATTCATGGTTAATTCAGACTTTTTACCGCTTCCACTACAAATTGTGTCTTGTTTGGGGACCCGCGGCCCCCTTTCAAAATCCTGGATCCATCTAATGTGTAGATCTTCTATACAAACAGAGACAGATGCACTGTAGTCATCGGATTAATTTTCATAGATAATTTCGTTTGACAACGTGTCAACATTCGTCTGCCAGTGTAATTTTACTTTCATAAAAAGTTTTATTAAAAAAAAAGGATTGTGTGCAGTCGGCACAACTTGTATAGTTCACATATTTTATTTATTGATTTTTTTTTGCACATCTGAAATTTTCTACAATTATTTGGACAAATATTAACTGCACAAGAAATGCCTCCACCTTTTTTAGCTCACCTGACCTGAAAGGTCAAGTGAGCTTTTCTCATCACTTTGCGTCCGTCGTCCGTTGTCCTGCGTCCGTCGTCCGTCGTCCGTAAACTTTTACAAAAATCTTCTCCTCTGAAACTACTGGGCCAAATTTAACCAAACTTGGCCACAATCATCATTGGGGTATCTAGTTTAAAAAATGTGTGGCGTGACCCGGTCAACCAACCAAGATGGCCGCCACGGCTAAAAATAGAACATAGGGGTAAAATGCAGTTTTTAGCTTATAACTCAAAAACCAAAGCATTAAGAGCAATCTGACATGGGGTAAAATTGTTCATCAGGTCAAGATCTATCTGCCCTGAAATTTTCAGATGAATCGGACATCCCGTTATTGGGTTGCTGCCCCTGAATTGGTAATTTTAAGGAAATTTTGCTGTTTTTGGTTATTATCTTGAATATTATTATAGATAGAGATAAACTGTAAAAAACAATAAATGTCGGCAAAGTAAGATCTACAAATAAGTCAACATGACCGAAATTGTCAGTTGACCCCTTTAGGAGTTATTGCCCTTTATAGTCAATTTTTAACCATTTTTTCGTAAATCTTAGTAATCTTTTACAAAAATCTTCTCCTCTGAAACTACTGGGCCAAGTTAATTATAGATAGAGATAATTGTAAGCAGGAAAAATGTTCAGTAAATTAAGATGTACAAACACATCACCATCACCAAAACACAATTTTGTCATGAATCCATCTGCGTCCTTTGTTTAATATTCACATAGACCAAGGTGAGCGACACAGGCTCTTTAGAGCCTCTAGTTTATAACTTTCGGCAGTATCCATAGTGAAATAAATAAGAAAATGAAGGAAATACAAATGTAAACATAAAATCGATAATGTTTTGATCAATACACGTGCGTTATTTTTCACGGTTGTAATGGCGGATCGGTCACGTGAGAGGTTAATGGATGCGCCCATGTTTTCTAGGTCAATTATAGATAAACCCGTCTATACATGTTGTATTTTATGTTTGTAATTATAGAAAATACACTTATACATTTTCCTTTATATTTTAAACATAATTATAGATAATGATTTGATCAGATGATGTTAAATGGAGCAAATGCATGTATTTGTTTGACAAATGGTTACCAAAGGAACATTTTTTCATTGAATAAATCATAAAATTTGATAACTGTTATATGAAAGTCAACATAATATATAAAGATTAAATTTGTCATATTGCTACACAGATAAAATTATAATTCTCATTACATGTACTGACATTTATCATATTAACTGTACATTATAATATTTTTACGTAATATATTTGTAGGTATTTATTTTTGTATAATTCTTTGAACTTTGAAAGACAGAGTGCAGTAAAACTACATATCAACACCTTAAATGTCAAGGTCAAATCCTTGACAACAGCAGATGACATAGCCCATCAAATATCACCTGTTGTAGAAAATAATATAGTTAAAAGGGGAATATTTGAGGTAATTTTTAAAATGTATAGTTTTGGACCAGTGTCACTATCGTTATACCTATACAATACAGCTATGTACTAGATTTATTGCTTCACTTGCAATGAATATGGCAAGAGGCAAGACATAATAAAACTTACTTTTTCCAGTTTAATTGGCATTAGCACCACAATTTAAGTTTTTATGCCCCACCTACGATAGTAGAGGGACATTATGTTTTTCAGTCTGTGCATCCGTTTGTTCATTTGTCCATCTGTCCCACTTCAGGTTAAACTTTTTGGTCAAGGTAGTTTTTGATGAAGTTGAAGTCCAATCAACTTGAAACTTAGTACACATGTTCCCTATGATATGATCTTTCTAATTTTAATGCTAAAATAAGAGTTTTGACCCCAATTTCACAGTCCACTGAACATAGAAAATGATAGTGCAAGTGGGGCATCCATGTACTATGGACAGATTCTTGTTTTTAGCACACCATTCTGAAGGAACTCTGAGCTTAAGCCATCACTTCGTCGTCGTCGTCCGTCTGGTGTAGACTATTTCAAACATCTTCTCCTCTGAAACTACTGAACCAATTCCAACCAAACTTAAGCTGAATGATCCTTAGGGTATCTAGAATAAAGTTTGTGTTTTATTTTCTGTTTCGTCAAAAAACATGGCCACCATGGCTAAAAATAGAACATAGGGGTAAAATGCAGTTTTTGGCTTGTATCTCAAAAATCAAAGCAGTTAGAGCAAATCTGACATGGAGTAAAAGTGTTCATAAGGTAAAGTTCTATCAGCCCAGAAATTTTCAGATGAATCTAATAACCCATTGTTGGGTTGCTGCCACTAAATTGGTAATTTTAAGGAAATTTTGCAGTTTTTGGTTATCTTGAATAGTATAAATGATAAAGATAAACTGTAAACAGCAAATATGTTCAGCAAAGTAAGATCTACAATTAAGTTTAATATGACCAAAATTGTCAATTGACCCCTTAAGGAGTATTGCCCTTTAAGAACAATTTTACACAATTTGTTTATCATGTTTTCTAACTTTAAAAAATCTTCTCCTCTGAAACTACTGAACCAATTCCAACCAAACTTAAGCTGAATGATCCTTAGGGTATCTAGAATAAAGATTATGTTTTATTTTTTGTTTCGTCAAAAAACATGGCCGCCATGGCTAAAATTAGAACATAGGGGTAAAATGCAGTTTTTGGCAAATATATCTCAAACACTTAAGCAATTACAGCAAATCTGATGAGAGGTTAAAATGTTCATTAGGCCAAGTTCTATCAGCCATGAAATTTTCAGACGAATCTAACAGTCCATTGTTGGGTTGCTGCCACTAAATTGGTAATTTTAAGGAATTTTGCAGTTTTTATACGACCGCCAAAAAATTTTGTGGTCGTATATTGGTATGACGTTGGCATCATCGTCCTCGTCGTCCGAAGACACATTGGTTTTCGCACTCTAACTTTAATTTAAGTGAATGGATCTTTTTGAAATTTGACCATAAGGTTAAATACCACAAAAGGAAGGTTGGGATTGATTTTGGGGGTTATGGTACCAACAGTTAAGGAATTAGGGGCCAAAAATAAGCATTTTCTAGTTTCCAGACAATAACTGTGGAACGGTGTATGGATCTCTCTGAAATTATACTACAAGTTTCCATACCACAAAGGGATGGTTAGGATTTGCTTTGGGGGGTTATGGCTCAAACCGTTTAGGAATTAGGGGCAAAAAAGGGGGAAAAACAAGGTTGTCCTGGTTAATGGACAAATACTTTAATACAAAACATAATTTAAAGCAGTGTAAGGGAGATAAATCAAATACATCATTGAAATTATCTCCCTTACACTGCTTTTAAATTATGTATAAAGTAATGGTTAATGAACAATAAAGATAATTTAAAACAGTGTAAGGGAGGTAATCCAAATACGTTTTGGTTACTTCCCTTGCACTGCTTTTAAATTATGTTTAAAGAAATACATATTTATAAAGGAAGACCAGTAAAAATATCTGCAAATGTTGCATCTTTTTTTTTTACAAAAAAATCCATATGAAAGATTTGACACTATATTTTTAATTCTATTATAAAATAGATTAAGTTAGCACTATGGTAAATTTAAATGGGTAATTATGGTTGCCAACTTCATTGGAAATTTGAATTGAGATTATGACCATATCTTGAGGGAAAGAATTTTTTTGGGGAAAAAAGGGGGTGGGGGGGATAAAAAGAAATTGTGGGGGGTCAATTTTTTCTCATTTCAGATTTCAGAAATTAAAAAGAATTATTCTTCAAATATTATTTTTTTTTCAAATTTCAAATATTGAAAAATTTCAAGAAGTAATCTTTAATTGCACAGTATGGCGCATTAGATTTGTAAAATCTTTGATCACATTTATTTATTTGTTATGCCGAATCTAACAGTGTATTTAGATTTTTAATTTTGGGTCCAGTTTTCAAATTGGTCTACATTAAGGTCCAAAGGGTCCAAAATTAAACTTTGTTTGATTTTAGCAAAAATTGAATATATGAGGTTCTTTGATATGCTGAATCTAAACATGTATTTAGATTTTTGATTTTTGTCCCAGTTTTCAAGTTGGTCCAAATTGGGGTCCAAAATTAAACTTTGTTTGATTTCAACAAAAATTGAATATATGGGGTTCTTTGATATGCTGAATCTAACCATGTATTTAGATTTTTTATTTGTGGACCCCGTTATCAAATTGGTTCATATTGAGGTCAAAAGGGTCCAAAATTAAACTTTGTTTGATTTCATCTAAAATTGAATTATTGGGGTTCTTTGATATTCCAAATTTAACCGTGTATTTAGATTTTTAATTTTGGGTCCTGTTTTTTAAATTGGTCTACATTAAGGTCCAAAGGGTCCAAAATTAAACTTAGTTTGATTTTAAAAAAAATTGAATTCTTGGGGTTCTTTGATATGCTGAATCTAAACATGTGTTTAGATTTTTTATTATGGGCCCAGTTTTCAAGTTGGTCCAAGATAGGGTCCAGTATTTAAACTTTGTTTGATTTCAACAAAAATTGAATATATGGGGTTCTTTGATATGCTGAATCTAAACATGTATTTAGATTTTTGATTAAGGGCCCAGTTTTCAAGTTGGTCCAAATTGGGGTCCAAAATTAAACTTTGTTTGATTTCAACAAAAATTGAATATATGAGGTTCTTTGATATGCTGAATCTAACCATGTATTTAGATTTTTTATTTGTGGGCCCAGCTATCAAATTGGTTCATATTGAGGTCAAAAGGGTCTAAAATTAAACTTTGTTTGATTTCATCAAAAATTGAATTATTGGGGTTCTTTGATATGCCAAATCTAACCGTGTTTTTAGATTTTTAATTTGGGTCCCATTTTTTAAAATTGGTCTTCATTGAGGTCCAAAGGGTCCAAAATTAAACTTAGTTTGATTTTAACAAAAATTGAATTCTTGGGGTTCTTTGATATGCTAAATCTAAACATGTGTTTAGATTTTTGATTATGGACCCAGTTTTCAAGTTGGTCCAAGATAGGGTCCAGTATTTAAACTTTGTTTGATTTCAACAAAAATTGAATATATGGGGTTCTTTGATATGCTGAATCTAAACATGTATTTAGATTTTTGATTATGGGCCCAGTTTTCAAGTTGGTCCAAATTGGGGTCCAAAATTAAACTTTGTTTGATTTCAACAAAAATTGAATTTATGAGGTTCTTTGATATGCTGAATCTAACCATGTATTTAGATTTTTTATTTGTGGGCCCCGCTATCAAATTGGTTCATATTGAGGTCAAAAGGGTCTAAAATTAAACTTTGTTTGATTTCATCAAAAATTGAGTTATTGGGGTTCTTTGATATGCCAAATCTAACCATGTATTTAGATTTTTAATTTTAGGTCCCGTTTTTCAAATTGGTCTACATTAAGGTCCAAAGGGTCCAAAATTAAACTTAGTTTGATTTTAGCAAAAATTGAATTATTGGGGTTCTTTGATATGCTGAATCTAAACATGTGTTTAGATTTTTGATTATGGGCCCAGTTTTCAAGTTTGTCCAAGTTGGGGTCCAAAATTAAACTTTTGTTTGATTTCAACAAAAATTGAAAATATGGGGTTCTTTGATATGCTGAATCTAACCATGTATTTTGATTTTGGACATTGGACCATAATAGGTAAATTAAAAAAATTCAAGTTCTTAGACCACATTCTTTCTGTGTCAGAAACCTATGCTGTGTCAAATATTTAATAATAATCCAAATTCAGAGCTGTATCAAGCTTGAATGTTGTGTCCATACTTGCCCCAACTGTTCAGGGTTCGACCTCTGCGGTCGTATCAAGCTGCGCCCCAGCGAAGCATTTTATTGGTTATTATCTTGAATATTATTAATGATAAAGATAAACTGTGAACAGCAAAAATGTTCAGCAAAGTAATATCTACAAATAAGTTAAAATGACCAAAATTGTCAAATGTGTCATTAAGGAGTTATTGCCCTTTAAAGACAATTTTTCACAATTTGTTCATCTAGTTTGCTTACTTTAAAAAATCTTCTCCTTTGAAACTGCTGAATCAATTTCAGCCAAACTTGGGCTGAATGAGTTTCAGAGTATCTAGTATAAATTTTGTATTTTATTTTCTTGTACGTCAAATATAGCCACTATGGCTAAAATGGAACATGGGGGTAAAATGTATTTCTTTGCTTTTGAAGAAAATATGACAGATGCAAAGAACATCTCAATGGAATTTTTAAGCCACTCATTAATATATATTAAAAAGCAAAAATAATCATTGATGAAAGATTTAAGCAAAAAATTACAGATGAGTGATTCAGGCTCTTGAGAGCCTCTTGGTTATAACATCAATTTCGCAATAAGGATTTATAATACATCATTATGACCCTTATTGGTGAAGTCCAGAAGTTTGAGGGTGTTATGTAGGAATCAATTAGTCTGTCTGTCTGGATGTCAATCTGTCTACAAGTCATGTCTGGTTCATAACTTTTTAATGCCTTTAAGGATATTAATGATACTTGATAATGTTGCCCACCATCAGAGGGTGGGTGAGTTATCAAAAAGGTCGGGATATCCTTCTCAAGGTCAAGCTCAAAAACTTAGTTCACTTTTACATCCCCATATTCAGTTTTGCCCACCCACAAAAGATGTGTTGTGAATAAGGTTTAAATGTCTGTCTGCAAGCTCAAGCTCAAGGTCAATGTCAATAGTTATATATTAAGATGAATACAAGGGGCAAGGCTGGTGTGTTATCAATTTGTGAAGTTTGCTCACATTACTATTAGTTGATATTGCATGCAGTATATTAGGGTGTCTGCATGATCAGTCTTCCAGTGACATAAAAATTGAATGTTGAGGATATATCATATGTATGCTGTTGAAGAGATAAAATCTTCCCTGTCAGTTTTTCTATTTTTTATTTTTTTCCATTGATTAGTAATGTTAAATTTTCTGATAAGGTTATCATGACTTTCTCATATTTGCTAAAGGCCTGATATTTGGTTGATGGATGGTATTGTGACATAGAATAAAAACAATGGTTCACATCTCTTTTTTATATGCCCCAGCCACGGCAGAAGGGGCATTAAGTTTTACCCTTGTCTGTGTTCGTCAGTCCGTCCCATACAACCCTACGTCCCAGAATTAATTTCCGTTCTCAAACTTAAGTTTGTCTCATCCAAATCATATGAAACTTATGCTTATTATCACCAAACACAGATCAAGTTTGAATTTGGGTGGCATCACTTTCACTGTTCTCGAGTTAGGTCCCTTTATAAATTGAAAAATTTGCTAAATTTGCCATTTCTGCACTCTAACTTTAGTTTGCCTCAACCAAATGTTATGAAACTAATACACAATGCTTATTACCACCAAACACAGATTAAGTTTGAATATGGTTGGCGTAATTTTCATGGTTCTCTAGGTATGTCCCTTTATAAATAGAAAAATTATCAAATTTGCTGTTTCCGAACTCCAACTTTTTTTTGCCTCTACCAAATGTTTTGAAACTTATACAAAATACTTACTACAACCAAATACAGATCAAATTCGAATTTAGATGGCATTACTTTCACTGTTTTCGAGTGATGCCCCTTTATTAAACTATCAAATTTTCTGTTTTCACACTTTTGCTGCATTTTCCGTATATTTACAAGCAGGGGCATTTGTGTCCCATGGAAACATTCTTCTTTTATTTACATTTACAACTCTTTATATTGTCAGTAAAGCTTATAAATATAACACGTGTGTAAAACGTGCTTTAGAATGAAAAAAAGATTGCTATCTACCTATAAATGTTTAGAACTTATGCACATCTTAAATCACTATATAAAGAAATCTAATTTGGCTTTCCATTAATTTCTGACATCACAAGAAATGCATTGAACATGTATGATCAAATGTTAAATGATCTTGCTTGAATTCCTCTGGTTACTTCATACAAGGAAAAATTGGGATATCAATTTATAATGCCATGTATATATCAAATAGGGTTGTTACTATACCTAAAAACGTATGTCCCTGGTAGGGGGGCCAGGGTGCAAAGCCCCCTGGAAGCTACTGGATTTTAGGGATTTCAGCCTTAATTTTTTACTTAAAAAAATAGGGTAAAGTCTGTAATATTTGCTTTAATTTTGGGTAAGTTAACATTGAATTGTTTTTTGTTCTAGAGTAATCATCTGAAAATACATTGCTTATAATTATTTTGTAATCAGACTCAGTTATAAAATATGTATGACCATGGAAGTATAAATATAATACTTCCATGGTATGACCTATAATGCAGGGGTTTCATGTGAAATGTTGTTAAAATGTTTTGTTTGATCTTATACTTTAGTCTTTTATTAAATGTTTTGCATTTGTTCAATTTTGTGAATGAAATTTCATAAGTTACATGGTATATTATTTAAAAAAATTGATAATAAAACTTGTTGTAACTTTTTTTTTATTGCTTTGTTATAATCATAACTGTGTCAATTGTTTGTGTAAGTAATTAGTGTCATATATTGTGAATCTGTCAGACTGCCACCTGTAGAGTAATTATTACTTTTTTTTTCAAAAATGAAATAAAACAATTAAATATTGTCTTCACTTTAAATTTTCTGTGTTAATTCAGATTGTTTCACGAAGTCTTACACTAAAAATTTCAATCACAACATAGAACACATATCGAGAAAACGGAGATCAGTGACAACGTCCAACGGGAAACGAACTGATTTGATACGATTAACGATTTTCTGAATTTCATAGAATGTTCACCTTTATTAAACCTTTTATTCATAAAATAATCTGTGATACAAGCTGCTTTCCTTTTATTAGACATAATATTGCTGTTGTTGTTTAAATTCATCAACAATTTCCCGCTTGAAAATATACTGCTAAATCGTCGCATTTTAAAGCGATCTTACGATACAGATACAGACACATGGTTTATAATTATCACTTCTCCTACTTTGGAGGTGTGCCTAAATTGGCAGAAGATAGATCTATACTTAAACGCGGACCTCGACGAAGACACCTATAAACATACACATGAATGGCGTAGAACAGAAATTATCAAGGAAAGAAAGAAATTAGATTTGAACGATCTTCAAAAGAAAATTTTACACATTTTTTTTTTGTATTTTTATTTTTTCTGCTGGTACCAGACGCTTCCGTAGGCGGGTAAAAGTAACGGGTACCGGGTCTTAACGAATGCACTGAATTGGTGGTCTGACACCTATAGTGGCACATAATTAATCAAGCAAGAAAAATAAGCATAATCAAGCAAATGAAAGGAAAAAAAAAATAATAATAATAATACAATATGATATAACAGAACAAAATATATGGACGAAGTATAACATTTTCATTAATATAATGATAATTGTATTTACAATATAAGCACATTTATACATGAATAATTCATCATTAATATCTAATCAGTGACTTTAACCCAGGGGTTCCAGTACATGTTGTATTCTTTCACACTCATATTTTTTAAGGAAATTTTCTTTGATATAATTTTTAAGTCTCTCTATATGAGGTTTTTCCTCTTGCATCTTTGATCTGTTGATGAAATACTTCGTTACTAAAATGACTTTATTTTTTATAAAATTTAGTTTATATTATCATAGAGGCCAAAAATGACAATATCCACATTTAATTCCACATGGAATTTCAATATGTGTTGCTTCAAAAATCCAAGCATTCAGATGGTGCCAGATGTCTGCTACAAATTAACAATATGACAGCTCCATAGTAAGTGTTCTATGGTTTCTGGTTCTTCCTTGCAAAATGTACATAAATTACATTGTACAAGGTTCATTTTTAAAAGTAAAGTATTAGTACCTAAAATACGGTGAATAATTCGGTATTGAAACCAACAGAGCTTGGTATTTTTTGAAAACTTAGTAACACAATTATGTATTTTATTCCATTCTCCAACAACTTTATTTGATATAATTTCCCATTTTTGCTCAGCTGTAATTACAACTGGTATTGTACCTTGGTTTAAAATGTTATACATGTCTTTTGAACCTTTGTCTGACCTGAAGAAAATGTTCATATGAAAAGGTAAAAGAGCTTTGAAATTTCTAATGTTCTGTTATGTTTTAGAATTTGAGTTATTTCTGTATCCCAGTTCAAAACAGTACAAGGAGGCTTGTCCAAATGTCTTAAAGTCAAAAGTTACCATATGGTTTCTAATCTATGTCTTCAGATACCATCCTTAATAATAGTTTAATGTCCTTCAGAAATCCTTAAAAACCGTGGAATTTTAAGGTGGCAAAAAGATTGGGCACCCTAAATTCAAAATACAGTTGGATATTTTTGTTCATGTTTATGTATTATTTTACAGATATCATTTATAGTAGAGTTACCAGGATTGAGCTTATCAAAGTACCTGATATCTGCCTTACCTGGTCAGACCACACAACAACACTTGTCACATATTCACATAGTGACTGATCAAAGCAACAATCTCAGGTAATGTTTAATGGATATTTGATGAATTTGTTTGTTGGTGTTTAACGCCACTTTCAATGACCTTTGCTTTATCATAGCAGCCAGTTTTTATTGGTGCATACTTAGAGAGAGAACCACAACCTTCAGTAGGAAAACAGGCAATCCTAGTCAATTAAGATCCAGAGTCGAACACACCTTGCCATGAGCAGATTCAATCTCACAACCTCAGAGTTGACAGGCTAATGTCGACTGTAGGTGAGATATCTGATGAAGGGTCTGATAAAAGAAACATAAACTGTGATATTGTGATCAGTTTTAACTGAGTTCCTGTCACATGTTCATATTATAACTGATTTTACAGTTTATTTTAATTCTGCCTTAGCTGTGAAATTTTTAAAATAAAATCAAATACAATTAAAAAATAAAATGTGAAAGCAGTTATAACAACTGCCCTAGGCACCGAAACATGTCGATCTCATTAAATTACTGCAGCAATCCCTAAAGTGTGATGTGAAATTGGAGATGTAAAAGTATAACATTAATTGTAAAGTCACATTTTCATTGAAACCACCATAGTAAGAAAAAATCTTGTTTTAGATTTGGAAAGTTTCCTACAGATAATTACACCTTACCCATGTTCACCATTGGTAATGAACATCTGACAGCAACCTTCTACTCATGTAATGGCAAATTACAGGTAAACATCTGACAGCAAACCTTCTACTCATGTAATGGCAAATTACAGGTAAACATCTGACAGAAAACCTACTCATGTAATGGCAAATTACAGGTAAACATCTGACAGCAAACCTTCTACTCATGTAATGGCAAATTACAGGTAAACATCTGACAGCAAACCTACTCATGTAATGGCAAATTACAGGTAAACATCTGACAGCAAACCTTCTACTCATGTAATGGCAAATTACAGGTAAACATCTGACAGCAAACCTACTCATGTAATGGCAAATTACAGGTAAACATCTGACAGCAAACCTACTCATGTAATGGCAAATTACAGGTAAACATCTGACAGCAAACCTTCTACTCATGTAATGGCATATTACAGGTAAACAGCTAAGAGCAAGCTTCTATTGATGCAATGGCAAATTACAGGTAAACATTTGACAGTAACCTTCTACTGATGTAATGGCAAATTACAGGTAAACATTTGACAGTAACCTTCTACTCATGTAATGGCGAATTACAGGTAAAAATCTGACAGTAACCTTCTTCTCATGTAATGACATTTTGCATGTAAACATCTGACAGCAACCTTCTATTTATGTAATGAAAAATTACAGGTAAAAACCTGACATCAACCTTCTACTCCTGTAATGGCAAATAACAGGTAAATGTCTGATATCAACCTGTAACTCATACAATGGCATATAACAGGTTAACAACTGATAGCAACCTTGTACTCATGTAATGGCAAATTACAGGTTAACAGTAAATAGCATCCTTCAACTCGTGCAACAGCATATTACAGGTTAACAACTGATATCAACCTTGTACTCATGTAATAGCAAAAACCTTCTGCTCAAGGAATGGCATATTGCAGGTAAACATTTGACAGTAACCTTCTACTCATGTAATGGCAAATTACAGGTAAATATCTGACAGTAGCCTTCTACTCATGTAATGGCATTTTGCATGTAAACAGCTGACAGCAACCCTCTATTTATGTAATGTTAAATATCTGACAGCAGCTTTCTACTAATACTCATGTAAAGACAAATTTCAGATTAACATCTGACAGCAACCTTCTACTCATATTAACATTGACTAAATTTTATCATTGGTACAAGGACATCATTCGTAAATAAAAATCAACATGCAGACATCTTATACATTCAGGTATTTCACATCTAATCTTTCATGGTAGTATTCTATACAAAGCACAAAAGCTAGCCAAACCTTTAAACAGACTTATTCAGAACGGATATAGTTACGATACTGTTGTCAGGTCATTAAAGATCGCATTTTTTGGAATTAATATTGATTCACTCATAGGGTCTTTGTATCGGAAATAAGCACATTTATTCTAAAACCAGTTGTTTGCTTGATACAGGTTATGTTCTTCTCATATATTTTATGATGGTATGATACTAAACCCCTAACGGGAGGGATTGTGCTTGATTTTCATATGATAAAGACATAATCTTTCAATCAGTTAATTGAGGTCTGGAGCTGGCATGTCAGTAACTGCTAGTAGTCCTTTGTTAATTTATGTATCATTGTCATTTTGCTTAGTTTCTTCTGTTACCTATTCTGACATCAGACTCAGACTTCTTTTAAACTGAGTTTTACTGTGCGTATTGCTGTGTGTTTGTTTATTCTACATTGGTTAGAGGTATAGGGGGAGGGTTGAGATCTCACAAAACATGTTTAACTCCGCCGCATTTTTGCGCCTGTCCCAAGTCAGGAGCTTCTGGCCTTTGTTAGTCTTGTATGTTTTTTTTATTTTTGTTCATTTATATGTTTCTGAGTTTAGTGTGACATCCATTTTCACTGAACTTGTACACATTTTTGTTAAGTGGCCAGCTGAAGCCCCCCTCAGGGTGCGGGATTTTCTCGCTGTGTTGAAGACCCATTGGTGGCCTTGGGCTGTTTTGTGCTCTTTGGTCGGGTTGTTGTCTCTTTGACACTTTCCCTGTTTCCATTCTCAATTTTAATAGGAAAATTTTAGGTAAACTTCTGAAACAATCTTCCAGCTGCCTTCTTTAAGATGTTTTTTATTAAACAAATGTAAATTACATTTCATGCTTTAATGCATCTTTTGACTATCAATCTATCAATATATCATTTGATTTCAGTATATTAGTAGAAATAATTCAACAAGATACAAGTCAGAAGTAAAGTTGATGACCTATGGAACGGGATCCTGGTCTAATCCATTTAAAGACAAGAGTGGTGCATACTTATTTTTACCTGATGGTAATGCAAAGGTTAGTCAGGTGATATCTTTTGAACCACATGTGTAAGCTTTGCCAAATTGATCCTTAAAAAAAAACATGACCTCTTTTGAATTTTAGGTTAATAGGTGAAATGTCAAGGTTTCAATGCCTTTAAGTACACTGATATTTTGACTGATATTCACTGGAAAAGTTTTTTCTCCAGACTATTTCTTTGTAGCCTTAAATGAGTTTGTAACCAATCTTTATAGTATAAGTGCATTTGGGTGTTAAGGATATATTCTTGTCATTTAGACTGTGGTGGATAATTGTTTCATTGGCAATCATACCACATCTTATTAATTTTCAGGTTACTGGGCCAAAGGTCATGTCACAACAGCAAAAGATGACTGAAAAGTCATCAACAAACTAAGTTTGATAATTTCCTTTTTGAAGTCTGCTATTGATTATGAGCTCACTCTGTCAGAGGTTAAAGTAATAGCAGCAATTGATAAAATGAAATTTGGGCAGTGTTAGGTTCAGTTTGATATCCTTCATCAAACTTGCAGTGAAAATGACCCTTAAAAACAAGAGACCTGTAGATTTTTATGTCAGAAGATCAAAGGTCAAGGTCATATTACCATTGAAAAGGTTAAATTTTAGGAAAAGTTTGTTTCTAGACTGGGCCATAAATCTAATATTTTACCAATATTTGGTTGATAATGTGCTTTGTTCAAGGTTACAGCATCAATTAATTGACTTAAACTTTTGTTTTTTGGATAATATATTGTGAACCCTACAACCAATTATTACCAACTTTAGTTTCATAATGTTCCTATGAAAGAGAGAATGTTTGGTATATTTTTGTTTCGAGACTAAATCTTTTAAGGAATAAATCAGATCGCTATAAAACTGACATTGATAAGGCTTCCTCAGAAGCTGAAGACAACAACTAAATTTAGGGTCAATAATATGGAGGTGAAGGTGACAGCATTTACAAATTGATGGACATTTGGCTGAAATATGGATTTCCAGGAAATTCTGTTTCCAAATATATGTTCCTTTACCCAAATGTTAGCAACTTCCATCATCAGACATAAAATGTTTGTAGATTTCACAGTTTTCATCACCATAACAAAAACAAAACCCTCTTTTGATGACTACTTTACCAGTAGTTCAATTTTCTGTGTATTTAGATGTCATTAAATTTTCTGTGATCCATGCAGGATTTTATCCAAATTTCTGTCAAATGAATAGATTTTTCTATAATATTTTCAGTATACTTCTGCTCTTTGGTCGGGTTGTTGTCTCTTTGACACATTCCCCATTTCCATTCTCAATTTTATTTATAGTAAAATACATGAAGTACAAGTCATATCAAAAAGGTGAATGACTGTTAAAAGTCCTACATTTATAAAACATTAATGTGATATGAATATGAACCCTACTTTGTACAAGACAAATGCCCTAAGTCATATTTTTAATGTACTAGCTATAAGGAATCAGTTGACAGGAAGACATGTTACCTCACTTCTGACTCCAAGCTGAACAGTGCTTGCTCTTTCTCACAAATGTGCTTAGCAGTGAAGTAAGTAGATTGGAGTTAAATGTTGATGAGTTTTGAAATTTTAACAAATTATGTTGTTAATGATTTACTTTTTGTATTTTATCATTACTATTTAACATTTATTTCCGAAGCTAGTTATTGCATTCATTAGCCTATTTTACTATGTTTTTCATTTAAAACACTTGTTTTATGTTAAAAAAAAAACTGTTTATCTCTTATGTTTAAAAAATAAAAATATATATTCTTTTTTTAATACAGAATTTGGCTGAGTCAATAAAGTATCTGTACATAATAAAAGGACAGATATATTCCAGCGTGGTTGTTGGTTACCCATCAATAACACAAATCTATACTGTATATAACATGGCAGGTAAGGAAATTATTTTTGTCCCCTGCGTAGCGTGTTGCTGGGCGTCCGTCCGTCTGGTCTTGTTAGCGCTCTCACAGGTACAATTCTTGCCAGATTTTTATAAAACTTATACTATAGGTTAATATCAGCAATATCTCAGACAATTTCTATAATGGTGGACAATCAACTTTTTTTTAAAGAGTTATGCCCCTTGGCAATATTAAATTTATGGAAAATGGCCTTGTTAGCACTCAAGTATAATTCTTGCCAGATTTTTATAAAACTTATACTATAGGTTAATATCAGCAATATCTTGGACAATTTCTATAAAATGGACGATGGACTTTTTAGCTCACCGGAGCCCAAAGGGCCCCATGTGAGCTTATGCCATCACTTGGCGTCCTCCGTCGTCTGTCGTCGTCGTAAACTATTTCAAAAATCTTCTCCTCTGAAACTACTGGACCAAATACCTTCGAACTGTAACTAAATGTATCTTCGGGTATTTAGTTTATAAATTGTATCCGAAATTTTGATCCATCGACGAAAATGGCCGCCATGGCTAAAAATAGAACATAGGGGTCAAATCCAGTTTTTGGCTTATATCTCAAAAACTAAAGCTTTTAGAGCAAATCTGACAGTGGGTAAAATTGTTCAATTGGTCAAGATCTATCAGCTCTGAAATTTTTAGACGAATCGAACAACCCATTGTTCGGTTGCTGCCACCGAATTGGTAGTTTTAACAAAATTTTGCAGTTTTTTGTTATTATTTTGAATATTATTATAGATATATATAAACTGTAAGCAGCAATAATGTTCAGCAAAGTAAGATTTACAAAAAAGTTAATATGACCATAATTGTCAATTGACCCCTTAAGGAGTTATTGCCCTTTAAAGACAATTTTACACAATTTGTTCATCAAGTTTGCTAACATTTAAAAATCTCCTCTGAAACTACTGGGCCAAATACCTTCGAACTTTAACTTAATGTTTCTTAGGGTATCTTGTTTATAAATTGTATCCGAAGTTTGTATCCATCGACAAACATGGCCGCCATGGCTAAAAATAGAACATAAGGGTCAAATGCAGTTTTTGGCTTATATCTCAAAAACTAAATCTTTAAGAGCAAATGTGACATGGGGTAAAATTGTTTAATTGGTCAAGATCTATCGGCCCTGTAATGATCAGACGAATCGAACAACCCATTGTTGGGTTGCTGCCACCGAATTGGTAGTTTTAACAAAATTTTGCAGTTTTTAGCTCACCTGGCCCACAGGGCCAAGTGAGCTTCTCTCATCACTTGGCGTCCGTCTTCCGTCGTCCGTCGTCCGTCGTCGTTAGCTTTTTACAAAAATCTTCTCCTCTGAAACCACTGGGCCAAATTTAACCAAACTTGGCCACAATCATTGTTAGGGTATCTAGTTTAAAAAATGTGTCCGATGACCCCACCAACCAACCAAGATGGCCGCCATGGCTAAAAATAGAACATAGGGGTAAAATGTAGATTTTGGCTTATATCTCTGAAACCAAAGCATTTAGAGTAAATCTGACATAGGGTAAAACTGATTATCAGGTCAAGATCTATCTGCTCTGAAATTTTCAGACAAATCTGACAACCTGTTGTTGGGTTGCTGCCCCTGAATTGGTAATTTTAAGGAAATTTTGCAGTTTTTGGTTATAATCTTGAATATTATTATAGATAGAGATAAACTGTAAACAGCAATAATGTTCAGCAAAGTAAGATCTACAAATAAGTTGTCATGACCAAAATTGTCAGTCGACCCCTTTAGGAGTTATTGTCCTTAATAGTCAATTTTTAACAATTTTTTGTAAATTTTTGTAATCTTTTACAAAAATCTTCTTCTCTGAAACTACTGAGACAAATATAACCATACTTGGCCATAATCATTATTAGGGTATCTACTTTAAAAAATTTGTCCGATGACCCCGCCTTCCAACCATCATGGCCGACTTGGTTAAAAATAGAACATTGGGGTAAAATGCAGTTTTTGGTTTATATCTCTGAAACTAAAGCATTTAGAGCAAATCTGACAGGTGGCAAAAAAGTTCATCAGATTTAGATTTATCTGCCCTGAAATTTTCAGACGAATCCGACAACCCGTTGTTGGGTTGCTGCCCCTGAGTTAGTAATTTTACAAAAATTTTGCAGTTTTTTGTTATTATCTTAGATATCATTATAATATCTAATATCTAATACTATTAATTATGATTTTAACCTTATTTTACATGATTTCCAAAGCATCAGTAAATACAGGTGAGCGACACAGGCTCTTGAGAGCCTCTAGTTTGTTATTATTTTGAATATTCTTATAGATATATATAAACTGTAAGCAGTAATAATGTTCAGCAAAGTAAGATCTACAAAAAAGTTAATATGACCAAAATTGTCAATTGACCCCTTAAGGAGTTATTGCCCTTTAAAGACAATTTTACACAATTTGTTCATCAAGTTTGCTAACATTTAAAAATCTTCTCCTCTGAAATACAGGTGAGCGATTCAGGCTCTTGAGAGCCTCTTGTTTATAAGAGTTATAGTCCTTGGAAATATTAAATTTATGGAAAATGGCCTCATTAGCGCTCTCATGGGTACAATTCTTGCCAGATTTTTATAAAACTTACACTATAGGTTAATATCAGCAATATCTCAGACAAGTACTATAAAGGTGGACGATTGACTTTTTTAAAAAGAGTTATGCCCTTGGAAATATAAAATATGTGTGCAACGCAGGGGACATTGGAACTCTGTTCTTTTATCTCATTGGATCCTTTCTATTAAAAAGTAAGTCAAAGACCAAGGGACCTGATGTTATTGTATTACTTGAACACGGTTCAACATGTTCAAGTCACCTAAGTTGACAATTTACATCATGTTTCCTGTTCCAATATTGTACTTAGTTTATAGGTGTACATCTTTTTATTTTTATTAAAACCCATTTTCAATGATGATATTGTGAAATAAAAATAAAGATGGAGAACACAGTACACATCTAAGTTTTACAAGAATAAGTTAATATAAATTAAGGAACTTCTTTAGCTTCTTTCTGGTGAATTTTGAATAAGAAGATGTAGTATGATTGCCAATGAGACAGCTATGCAATTGAGTCAATATGAAGCGGTTTTAAGCAATTATAGGTCACTGTTCTGCCTTCAACTATGAGCAAAGCCAAAACAATTTAGTCAGCTATAAAAGACCTTGACTTAATCTTTTAATATCACTTTTATCAGTTAATTAGATCAAATGATTTTGTATCTTGTGTCTGTTGATTCCTTCCATGTTTATCTCTGTTAAAATGTTTTCACTAACACATTTTTATGCTTGATCAATCAACAAGCTGCTGACAAACAATAAATATTTCATTCTATTTTCATAACACAACATTTTTGTTAATATATACAAAACAAAACCATTTTAGCATAAATTCATTTAAATTGATGGCAAATATCTCAAATTTGAAATTATTAGTCATCTCACCTCTGAGTGAATGAAATGTGAAAAAAAATGGTAAAGATCTAGTCCAGTAACTAGTGTAGACTTAGTTACAATCAAAATAAATAGAACATTTACGTGTTTTTACAAAGGATCAAATGGTATGGGAGTCCATATAGAAAACTTAGTCGATATAACTAATGGTACTATGTGGAATAATAAAGAACTTGTAATGAGGATAGAGACTGATGTAAAAGATACGAATAATCAGATATGTGTGGATCTCAATGGTTTTCAGGTTAGTACAATAATGTGGGATGGTAGGTTGGATGTGGCCAGTAGTTGTTGACAATAAACACATCTTTAGATAAATATTTTGACCAAATTAAAATAAGATGGAAATTTCCAATAAATGTTTGTCCTACACATACCTGCCAATTTTCCTATCGAAGGTCGGTGGTTTTCCCCGGGCACTCCGGCTTCCTCCAACAATAAAAACTGGCCGCCACGAAATAGCCCAAAAGCGGTGCTTAAAAGTGGCGTTAAAACACCAAAAATCAAATCAAATCATACCTGCCAACGTCTGAAACCTTCAAAGAGGGAGATCTCCCCCTCAGCTATGACAGCTGAGTGGGTGGTTTTGCGCAAACGACATTTTCAAGTTAAATATATGACCTGTTTACGTATTCATCTACAAAACACCAAAAGGAGTTAATAAATATACTTTATTTCTTCAATTCATGGTTATAAGCTCTACAAGCTGGGGTTTTATTTAGCCTTTTTTCAATATCTCCCGAGTCTCATATAACTCATAACATTCCATGTTTTGAATTTGTTGTGAGTCTCACACTAAGCATGCTTTCAAACATCGTACAGACCACCAGAAGAATTCAAAAGTTGATTGAACATAATGTACAAAAAGATTCATTGCCAAGTGAACTTGGTCGTAAAAATTCAAAATCTTTCATTCAAATCTGCTTGACATTTCAATTTGCAGTTATCTATTTCTTCTTTTTACATTGCTGCGGACTGGCAAGCGGGAGATTTCCGGAATTTCGTTGTTTGCGCGGGAGTCTCCCGCTCAAAATGGGAGGGTTGGCAGGTATGGTCCTACATCCAGTGTAAACATTATAACTAGTAGATGACATTGAATTGAATATGTAGAATGCTCAAAATGTTTGTTTATGATTTTCTTAAAATTTGAATAATTTTCTCTTTTCTTTGTTTTGAACCCCTTAGTCAGCATCTTTATCATTGTAGTGCTTTTTAATATTTGAAAATATATTAAACAACTCGTTCAGAGTGCATAGAAAGATGAATGTTATTTATTTTTCAGATGCACAGAAAGAGAACTAGAAAGAAAATACCACTACAGGGAAACTTTTTCCCCATGACTTCTATGATGTTGATTGAGAATAATGTTGATAGAGTTACAATAGTATCTTCTGAAACTCATGGTGTAGCTAGTCTTTCTCCAGGTATTTATCTGTCCTGTGGATAGTGAGAAGGAAAGGTATTTGGGATCAAATGGACACAAGACAGAAATATTTTGTCATGCAAATACCAAAGGAAGAGAACAGAATCCTTGTTAAAAGTCTTCAATAATTAGATACCGATACCTAGTCCTAAGACAAAAGCTGCGTCTCTTTTAGTATATTGGATATCTAAATATGTCCTTTGACTTTGAAAAGGAACATGCAACATGCAGTAAAAATGAAATGATTCTACAAAAAATTAAACACTTATAACAAACATTTATTTATTTAGAGCTATCAGGGTGACAGACTAAACAAACCAATGAAATTGGACCTTTAACCTTTGAGCTCATTGCTTAACATCCACAAACAGACAAACAATTAAGTACAATTATCTTAAATCCTCTGTAGGATTTTAGCTTGAAGGTTCATAAATCAAATGTTATTACCAATTTCAATCACTATACTGTAGGTTGGTTGGAGGTTGTTCTAGACAGACGACTGATTCAAGATGATTGGCGAGGTCTGTCTCAGGGAGTTACAGATAATGTTTTAACCAAAAGTCAGTTTGTTCTTTTGTTTGAAACCAGAAATATTTCTGCTAGTCAGGTTGGTAAAAAATATTATTAAGTAAACTCTCCAAAATGTCTGAAATACTCATTAATCACTGAAATCTAGTAAAGCTTTAAACAAGATTATTCCAATGTTAAGCAGGATGAGAGATAAGCTATTTTGTACTTCATTCTGTATTTTTATTTCAGAATTGCATGATTTGTGCAGTGAAATCAAAACCAGGTTAATATCTATATCATTGGGATATGACTGCTGAAGGTGGATGCCTGATTCCAGGAGATGAATACATATTCTCTGTATTTTGTCTAGAGCCAAATGCTTCATTAGGGATTTGGCTATTATTCTCTCTTTTATTGCTGTCTTTCTGTCTTATTATGGATATTCAAACTTACATTTTATAAAGGGACATTAGCTACAATGTTTTGTCAGTAGAATTTGAATAGTTAAACCTTTTTCTTTCTTTTTTATTGGCTTCAAATATTAACAAGAATGAAATATTGAATAATTATTCATTATTAGCAGTCAGTTTGATTCCATTTAGTCAAAATAAGCCCAAAAAACTTTTCTGCAACATTATTGATTTGCAAGTCAATAATTTGACTCATTTAAATCCATACACATTCAACCATTGATGTGACCGAAGATTGAGATGTTGTTATGAATAAATTTTGAAAGTTTTGGGCAATTTATTTGACATGAATTTGGTAGCTAATATCCTTATTATACAGATTTCTAGTTGATGGCCATTACTTTCAATAGAAAGAAACGTAAATCAGTGTTCAAAAGGTGCTTTTAAATAACAAATTTGTTTCAGCTTTATTGTGTTGCCTACAATAAAAGTGGTGAAGGCGAGACATAGTGATTCCAGATTCTGCCAGTGTTGCTGTCAGTCAACATTTGGGTTCAGTCTGAGATTAAAGTATTTACTATTACATGTTTGTGTTTAATGGATAGAGTAGTTACAGTTCCACATTAGAATGGAAGTCACTATTGAACATAGAAAAGTCAGTATAGAACTCTTTATATATAAACTATTTAATAATTGTATAATTTCAGAAACAAGGTATCATGTGTTATCCTTCACCAACTGCAGAAGTTGTATCCAAACTTCTTGAGCACCATGTGATCTCCATGACAAAATCTCCAATTAGCAATGCTGATTGGTCAGTTATGAAACTGTCATCTCTCCCACAGAAGGAGATACATCTGGTGAATTTAAGATTCTTGTCAGTTGACAATGGGTGTATTGAGGTTTTGCTCATCATTCATTCTACTCAACTAGATTGTTCCTTCCCTATAGCTGAAAAAGATTGGAAGTCACAGGTATACAGGATAATAATTTTTATCATGCTTTAAACTTGTCAAAAATTGCTTAACATAGGGATACTAATCCAGCAGCATTGCCAAAAATTATTAGTATAAAGCTTTATATATCAGAATGTTAAATAGCTTGATAGTCCATACAATATAAGCCAATTGTTACTGCTGTTATATTTCTTTTCATTGAAATAACTCAAAAAATGTAATTGATCTTTTGATCCTCTTGTTTGTTTTTACTGTGTATTAAGGTCACAGTTTGATTGACATGTTCCTCACCTCTTTTTATTAATATTTATATAGAATTTAAAATTCAGTACACTGAACTGCATGTCATTGTTCAGTGACTGCTTGAAAAAAATTATAGTTTTTTTGTCATGTGAAATACTCACTTATTTTGAGTAATAAGACAATATAAAAATAAGAAGATGTGGTATGATTGCCAATGGGACAACTCTCCACAAAAGACCAAATGACACAGAAATTAACAACTATAGGTCACTGTATGGCCTTCAACAATGAGTAAAACCCCTACCTCATAGTCAGCTATAAAAGGCCCCCAAATGAAAATTGTAAAACCATTCAAAAGAAAAAATTAACAGCCTGATTTATGTACAAAATAATGAACGAAAAACAAATATGATATACAGCAACAAACGACAACCACTGAGTTACAGGCTCCTGACTTGGGACAGGCACATACAGAATGTGGCAGGGTTAAACAAGGTTGAAGGCACCAACCCTCCCCTAACCTGGAACAGTGGTGTAACAGCACAACATAAGAACAAACTATAAAAATCAGTTGAAAAGGGCTTAAATCATTAGATGGATACAAAGTGGAAATACATATAACAAAAACACGAGTGGAAATGGCAGGGTACTGATAATTACCCACAACAAAAAGACACTAAGTACAGATCTGAGCATACTCACAGTTACTGACCGCTAGTTCAAAACCAATAACAATTAAATAAAAAAAATCATGCATCTAAGACAACATCTCAGAAAAAATTAGGATGTGCTATCCCGTTTGAAATAAATTTTCTACAGGTACAACCAAATTTCCAAACCAAATCTTTTTATCTATGGAAGAATTTAGTAAAGGTTTTAAGTAATTTGTGGTAACAAAATCCCTGATTTAATAATTTACCAGTAATACATAGATTACGTTCATTGAAATCCAAAACGTCACAACAGACATGGGCATAGCGAACGAGTTGTGATATATAAACACCGTAAGATGGTGCCAAAAAAACATCACCGTCAAAAAAAGAAAATTAAAAATAGGGAGCTACCCTTTTGCTGTAAATTTTAGTGTATAGTTTCCTGTGTAAAACTGAAATATTTAATCTAGGAAAGGACAGTTATTACCGTTTATATTTGATTTATTTAAAGTAAGTTCCTTAAGTTCAGTAAATTTCGGCAGTATATTTAGAAAATTCTTGATTATTTAACGAAAAAATATCATCAAGATAACGGTAAGTGTTGTTGAATTTATCAATTAAATGCAATTAAGACGGGTCTTTTCTTAGTTTGGTCATAAACTGTGATTCATAACAGTACAAGACCAAGTCTGATATTAAAGGGACGCAATTGGTGTACATAGGAATACCTACAACCTGTCGATAAACCTTATTGCCGAAACATACATAAATATTATCAAGGAGAAAATTAACAGCTTCAATCATCTCATCACACCTCCAGTAAATATATCTAGCATATTTACTTTTCTCATTAGAGAAGAAGGCTTTAAATGAGTTGCAGCAAATATATTTGCATTCAGATTTACCAAACAACCATTTAATTAAATAGGAAATTTTGTTTGATAAGATTGTGTGGAAGAGTAGTGTAAAGAGTTGAAAAGTCAAAACTGTCAACAGAATCAAAAGGACCATCAAAAGCATATAATTTATCAATAACATCCAAAGAATTTTTTACACTCCAAAAATAGTAATTTCCACTATTTTCATATGTTTTATGATAAGTTCTTTGATAGTAGTTAAGGGACTAGTTAAAAGCACTGAAGGATTAGTTGAAGAACACTTACTAGGGGCCGAGATGAAATGATATTTTACTGGTTTTTTGTGTAGTTTAGATAACCAATACGCAGTAGGGACCTTCAAATGTTCAGAAGAGGCTTTAAGCTGTGATGTGGTTATGATATGATTGTTTACTATATGACTTTCTGTGGAGCGCATAGACTTGAATATAGAAGAGTTTAAAATTTCATTCCTTGTAGTATTTACGGAATACCAGCACCACATTTTTGGCTGCTTTGTCGGCTGGTACAAACACCAACCACTTTGTGAGTACTTGAAGTTTGTTTCTTATTCTAGAATTAGGTGTATTATGTACTCTTTTATTTATTTCGAAATTATTTTCAAATGTGATATTCAAATATCTACAACATTCATACATTTATTTAAATAAGAATCAAAGTTTTTTATCAGATATTTCCCGTTTACACCAATTTTTATGATACGATGAAAGAGCGTCTTTTGTGTCCTGTTTTTATATATGGAATGATTGTAAGGTAAACATGTCTGACTGGCAGGTTTCATCTGACCTTGACATCATTTGCATGGTTCATTGGTCAATGTTAAGTTTTCATGTTTTTTTGTCAGTTTATCAGATACTACAAGCAATATATCAACAATAGTTGGTGTATGGTATGATTGTTAGGTATACCTGTCTGTCTTGCAGGATTCCTCTGACCTTGACCTCATTTACATGGACTATTGATAATGTTAAGTTAATGTGATACTTGTAGTAAAACCTTCATATTACAGACTTTCAAAATAAGTTCAATCATGATGTAGGTGTAAGTAAAGCAGGCAAGACTTTTCAGTGTGTGCACTATTTTTTTCTTGGGACAAACCTTCTTTTTCCACTTTTTTATTAAAAAACATACAAGAACAAGAAAAAATTGTCGGGGGATAATCATAAACACAACCGTGACTACTAAAAAGCCTGTTGATAAACTTTTTATGCCCTCTCCCTTATCCGTTCGTACGTTAGTCCGTCCTTACATCTGTCTGTCTGTACGTCCAAAAATTAGTTTCTGTTCTCTAACTTTAATAGAAAAACAAAGGATATGGGGTATCCATCAATGACACAAAATCAGTACATGCACAGCAAAAAAGGAAAGGAAAAGCGCTTTTATTGCTGTTCTTCATCTCAAAGTCACAATGAGGCCTTCAACACAGAGCAAAAAACTCTCACCTCACTGCAAGTTTAAGACAGCCCCTAGCACTGGCTTGAGCAGAATTCTTTGCAAAAATAATTCAGATAGACTTTGTAAGATGTAACACCACCAAATCGGGCCCTGTCAAAAAAGAAAGTAGTACATATTTAAAACAGGATAGTTCCTACGTATAGGTGTAAATATCAAATTATGTAGAATATATTTTACTGATTAAGGTATCAAATGAAAGGTGAAGGACTGATGATCCTTGTAGAACACATATTGACTGATAATTTTGAATAATACAAAAATGTATGAATGAGTTCTAAAATAGAGTGCATCTATTGCCTGTTTCTCAGATATGAAGTACCAGGTTTGGTGTATCCAAAGGTCGGGTAAACCAGTACAGTCTGATTTATAAATAACGGTATATTGATTTCGACCCCATAGAATGTTTAGAAGTGAAAAATTCAACGTGGATAGGAATGAGGGCCAAGAATAGGTTGTGTGTGTCTTATCAAAATTTTAGTACACAAACTGGCCTAAAGTTGAGAGAATGATATGGCACACATAAGAGAAGTTATCTCAAGAATGAATACACCATAACTTTAAAAATACAGAAGAGCATACATATAGTTAGCCTCAACCAAATGTTTTTCATCCTATACACAATGCTTTACCACCAAACACAGATCAAGCTTGAATTATGGTGGCGTCACTTTCACCGTTCTCTAATTATGGACTTTTATAAATGGAAAAATTGACAAATTTGCAGTTTCCGCAATCTAATTTTATTTTGCTTCAATCAAATGTTGTGAAACTTATACACAATGCTTATTACCACCAAAGTCAGATCAAGTTCGAATTATGTGGCTTCACTTCCACTGTTCTCAAGTTATTTCCCTTTTTAAATGGAAAAATTGCTAAATTTGCCATTTCTGCACTCTAACTTTATTTTGCCTCAACCAAATGTTATGAAACTTATACACAATGCTTATTACCGCGGACTATACAAGCCTTTTAACGGTAGCACCGAACACAGATCAATTTCGAATTTGGGTGTTGTCACTTTCGCCATTCTGGAATTATGTCCCCTTGTAAATTTAAAATTGCAAAATTTGCCGTATATTTACAAGCAGGGGCTTTTGTGTCATTCTTCATTTTATTTATTATCACTGCAAATGTATTTTTTACAAATGTGTGCTGTTTATCTGGGCAGGGCTCGAAAGATTATTTGAGTTCAATGGTTTGAATAGGCCAATGACAACTATTTTTCCTTTTCAAATGGATATCGTAAACCTTTGTTGACTGATTCATTCGCAGGCCCTTTTGCTAAAATAGACTGCAGTTAGGTGTATTATCTGAACTGTATTGCTTGTTTAAAGAAACAAGTTCAAACATTAAAACCTGTAATTTTATTTTTTTTTTATCTTTTTTCACTTTCAGCATTCAAACCATAGCATGAAAATCTCAAAACTGTTTGAAAACAATGTGATTACATCTATAAAACAGACTATACTAACTGGTGTCAAGGTCATTCGAACTGTTTTACCTGAGGAAGATATTTCAGTAAATGTTATGGAAATAAAGACCTACAAAGTGACAGTCTGTTAATGTTATGTCATGGTTATCTTACACTATACCCAAAGGAATATATGTCAGTAAATGTTATGGAAATAAAGACCTACAAAGTGACAGTCTGTTAATGTTATGTCATGGTTATCATACTCTACACCCAAAGGAAGATATTTCAGTAAGTGTTATGGAAATAAAGAGCTACAACATGACAGTCTGTTAATGTTATGTCAAGGACATCATAACTCTTCTGCCTGAGGAAAACATCTCTGACCAAAGACTATGAAACTTAGTACATACAAAGTTAAAACCTGTTGATTTGTTTTAATTGTATAATTATGAATGACTTGTTTATAAACCATTAGATTTCTTTTTTTAAATAAAGAGATGTTATTTTTGTCCCCGTTGCAGGGGACATAGAAATACCACTCATATGTCTGGTCTTTTAAGCGCTCTCAGATGTATAATTCTTGCCAGACTTCTATAAAATTCATATCAAAGGTTTATATTGGCAATGTAACAAATAATTTCGAAAAATCAGTGTCTATCAACCATTTTTCAACTTTCAATTTTTCAAAAAGTCATGACCCTTGAAATATTAATTATATGAACAATTGCATTGTATGCACTCTCATGTGTACAATTCTTTCCAGATTTTTATCAAATTTATATCAAAGGTTTATATCAGCAATGTCTGAGACAAGTTAAAAATTAAGGCTGATCAATAATTTTTTCAGGAGTTATGTCCCTTAGAAATGTAAATTATATAGAAATTTGCATTGTAAGCCCCCTCGTGTACAATTCTTGCCAGATATTTATGAAAGAATTAAGTTCATGAAGAGCCATATTTTGGGCCAAATATGGAGTCCATTGTTTCAAGTAGACGAAAAGGAAATAGAAGTATTTTTGTCGTCGCGACGATTTATATTTGCGTTATTTTTCTACTTGCAAAACTTGCAAAAATTAGTTGGTTTACAGTACTATTTGTTAAAACATTTTTATAAATCTGACTTGAACATTTAATTTGTGGAATCATGGACTCAATGTTTCCTAGACCTAAATATGGTTGAATTCCAAGGGATTTTGACAATTTTCACCAAAAATCTCTACTTTTGGCCTATTTGGGTTGTAAATTTTAACACTTTATAGGAAAAGCTTGACAAAAATACTTCTATTTCCTTTTCGTCTACTTGAAACAATTTACTCCATATTTGGCCCAAAATATGGCTCTTCATGAACTTAATTCTTTCATAAATATCTGGCAAGAATTGTACACGAGGGGGCTTACAATGCAAATTTCTATATAATTTACATTTCTAAGGGACATAACTCCTGAAAAAATTATTGATCAGTCGTGAATAAGTAAAACTTGGATCTTTCCTTATTTAACTACATCAGGTAAATAAGAAAATCGCGAAGTGGACTAGAAAGAGCTAAACGCGAAATAAAGTATCTGCAATAATAAGTTGGTTTACAGTATGTTAAAAAGGTCTTTTTTGAAAGGTCTGTCCTGGAAAATCAAGTTTGTGCTTTTTGTGACACCAATTTGTAAATTTTTAACAACAAAAAGACATATTTCCTATCTAGTCATTGTTTTAGCTATAATTTATGGGGATAATTTGTCAATAAATCCTAATTTGAAATTTTAACTTGAAATAGGGGCCATATTAGGGTGTTGTTGAATCTACTCCTTTATATCAAAGGTTCAAATTGCAATATCTTGGACATGTTCATATATCAGTGACAATCAAATATTTTTAAAAGAGTTTTGTCCCTTGGAAATTTTAACTATTTGGGAAATTGTATAGGATGCGCTCTCAAGCCTCTCTTAAGAAATTTTTTTAAAAATTTAAAGAACAAACTAAAAAAAGTTTTTTTAGTTATTTCCCTAGGACAGATAAAATATGTGCAACACAGGGCACATTGGAACTCTGTTCTTTTAGTTAGATTAAGTTCTGATCTGGCAATTTAGAGATAAAAACAGGAAATATGGTAGTACAAACATTCTTAAGTAACCAAGTGCAATTAGTTGCAAATATTCATCTTCACTGTGGATTGTTAAGGAAGATAATTTTGTCTGTAACTTGTAGTAAATTAATTTAGTTTAGTTCCATTTTACCTTTATTTATTGAGTTATATTTTGTGGTTCATTAGTGTACGATGATGACTAATGGAGCACCTGAGATCATCCCTGGTTTTGGTGGGGTTCGTGTTGTTCAGTCTTAAGTTTCAATGTTGAGTTTTGTATATTGTTGTATGTCTTTTTCGTTTTTTGCCATTGGGTTGTCAATTTATTTTCAACTTCTGAGTTTGAATGTTCCTTTGGTATCTTTCGCCTCTCTTATACAGATCCTGCATGCAGAATTTGTGGCTGTATAATGGTATGGCAATTTCAGCGTTGTCCGAAGACATTTGGCTTCCAGACAATAACTTGAGTATAATTGTATGGATCTCTATGAAATTGTTCCACAAAGTTCCATACCACAAAAGGAAGGTTGGGATTGGTTTTGGGGGTTAAGGCCCTAACTGTATAAGAATTTTGGGCCAAAAAAGGGCCAAAAGCAAACATTTTCTGGTTTCAGGACGATAACTTGAGTACAAGTGTATGGATTTGTATGAAATTGCACCACAAGGTTCCAAAAAGGGATTAGAAATAACCAATTATTTAACTTTGTTTGAATTGCTTTAATTTCTGACCAATTTCAATGGGATTTAAATAATCTTGAAATTTTGGGTTTCTTTTATAATGCTTAATCTTACTATGTATTTAGAATTTTAATTTTGGGCTGTGTTTTCTAGTGGGTCCATATTAGGGTGCAAAATTAAACTTTGATTGATTTCAATATGCTGAATCTAATAATGTATTTAGAATTTGGATTTTGGGCCCATTTTCAAATTGGTCCACATCAGAATCCAAAGGGTTCAAAATTAAACTCTGTTTAATTTCAACAAAAATGGTAAGGGTTTTTGCTATGCTGAATTGCTTATTTGATTATATTTGATAAATTTCATTTGTTTGGTTTTTTTTTTTTACATTAAGAGTAACCTCCCTTACTATGTTTTAGCTAATAACTTATGTCTTATCTATGATGTGATATGCAAATGAGAAGATGTCATTTTATTTTTATACGACTGCAAAAAATTTTGCGATTGTATATTGGTATGACGTTGGCGTCGTCGGCGTCCGAAGACACATTGGTTTTCGCACTCTAACTTTAGTTTAAGTGAATGGATCTCTATGAAATTTTACCATAAGGTTCAATACCACAAAAGGAAGGTTGGGATTGATTTTGAGGGTTATGGTACCAACAGTTAAGGAATTAGGGGCAGAAAAGGGGCCAAAAATAAGCATTTTTGTAACTTCCAGACATAACTTGTGTGTTAGTGTATGGATCTCTCTGACATTGCACCACAAGGTTCCATATCACAAAGGGAATGCTGGGATTGATTTTGGGGTAATTGCCTCAAAATTGTAGGAATTAGGGGCCAAAAAAGGGGCAAAAAACAAGCATTTTTATATGGACAAATACTTTAGTACAAAACATAATTTAAAGCAATGTAAGGGAGATAAATCAAATACATCATTTGAATTACCTCCCTTACACTGCTTTTAAATTATGTAAAAAGTAATGGTTAATGAACATTGAAGACAATTTAAAACAGTGTAAGGGAGGTAATCCACATACAACGTTTTGATTACTTCCCTTACACTGCTTTTAAATTATGTTTAAAGAAATGCATATTTATAAAGGAAGACCAGTAAAAATATCTGCAAATGTTGCATCTTTTTTTTTTTACAAAAAAATCCATATGAAAGATTTGACACCATATTTTAAATTCTATTATTAAATAGATTAAGTTAGCACTATGGAAAATTTAAATGGGTAATTATGGTTGCAAATTCCATTGGAAATTTGAACCGAGATTATGACCATATCTTGAGGGAAAGAATTTTTGGGGAAAAAAAGGGGCGGGGGGGGGTAAAAAGAAATTGTGGGGGGTCAATTTTTTCTCATTTCAGATTTTAGAAATTAAAAAGAATTATTCTTCAAATATTTTTTTTTTTTTCAAATTTCAAATATCGAAAAATTTCAAGAAGTAATCTTTAATTGCACAGTATGGCGCATTAGATTTGTAAAATCTTTGACCACATTTATTTATTTGTTATGCCAAATCTGACCATGTATTTAGATTTTTAATTTTGGGTCGTTTTCAAATTGGTCTACATTATGGTCCAAAGGGTCCAAAATTAAACTTAGTTTGATTTTAACAAAAATGGAATATATGTGGTTCTTTGATATGCTGAATCTAAACATGTATTTAGATTTTTGATTTTGGGCCCAGTTTTCAAGTTAGTCCAAATTGGGGTCCAAAATTAAACTTTGTTTGATTTCAACAAAAATTGAACATATGGGGTTCTTTGATATGCTGAATCTAACCATGTATTTAGATTTTTTATTTGTGGGCCCTGCTATCAAATTGGTTCATATTGAGGTCAAAAGGGTATTTAGATTTTTAATTTTGGGTCCAGTTTTCAAATTGGTCTACATTAAGGTCCAAAGGGTCCAAAATTAAACTTAGTTTGATTTTAACAAAAAATGAATATATGGGGTTCTTTGATATGCTGAATCTAAACATGTATTTAGATTTTTGATTTCGGGGCCCAGTTTTCAAGTTGGTCCAAATTGGGGTCCAAAATTAAACTTTGTTTGATTTCAACAAAAATTGAATATATGGGGTTCTTTGATATGCTGAATCTAACCATGTATTTAGATTTTTTATTTGTGGGCCCCGCTATCAAATTGGTTTATATTGAGGTCAAAAGGGTCCAAAATTAAACTTTGTTTTATTTCATCAAAAATTGAATTATTGGGGTTCTTTGATATGCCAAATCTAACCGTGTATTTAGATTTTTAATTTTAGGTCCCGTTTGTCAAATTGGTCTACATTAAGGTCCAAAGGGTCCAAAATTAAACTTAGTTTGATTTTAACAAAAAATGAATTCTTGGGGTTCTTTGATATGCTGAATCTAAACATGTGTTTAGATTTTTGATTATGGACCCAGTTTTCAAGTTGGTCCAAGTTGGGGTCCAAAATTAAACTTTGTTTGATTTCAACAAAAATTGAATATATGGGGTTCTTTGATATGCTGAATCTAACCTTGTATTTTGATTTTTGGACCCCGTTATCAAATTGGTCCACATTGAGGTCAAAAGGGTCCAAAAATTGAATTCTTTGGATTCTTTGATATGCTGAATCTAACCATGTATTTAGATTTTGGATATTGGACCATAATAGGTAAATTTAAAAAAAACAAGTTCTTAGACCACATTCATTCTGTGTCAGAAACCTATGCTGTGTCAAATATTTAATCACAATCCAAA